TTGACAGTGCATGCATTAGATGCACATAAACTAATTGTTGAAATATTCAAGTAGTTATAAAATATAAAAGTGTTTTTGAAAGCAGTTGAAGATTTTTCTCTGTGCATCATACATTCATGAAATTTTGCATGATAAATTCAGCTTTATGGTAAAATTCAAAGGAATGCTTTGATATTTGAAATGTTTATTTCATTTGATAGCATATATGTGTAACATATAAACTGTATGATTGTTTTTAAGTGTTTTATTCAGTTAATGCAAAATGCTGTAGCTTATAAATAGGAAGATATTATTTCTGCCAAAATTACTGAAGAAAAGGCTTAACAAAGTAAACGCAAACATACATTATTTTGACTAAAGCCATGTTTGAACTGTGAAAAATCAACAAAAAATTGAGAAAATTATTCCATGATAAAAGGAAATCGATTGTTTTACCATGATTACACTTTTAATTACACATTATATAAGAAGATATCAATAAGATTTTGCATATTTTCTATTAAATGCTTCCTGGCTATTTTTAATATGATAGAATTTATATTATGCATATTACAATAAGGTTATTAAAAGGTATCTCCAAAATTTTATCTTCATATATGCAATATGTTGCTAATATGTCAACTTTTTATTTAAATATAATAACTAAATTTTTTAATATATTTTAATAACATTTTTCTCTCATCTTTAAACTGTAAGGCTTTTTTAATTATAAGTTTGGGTGCTTAAGTGTTATCGTAACCACCATGGTGTAGTTTAACAATTCTACTGTTTTCTACTATACACAGTAGAAAAAAAAACAATTATTTTTATTGTGAAAAATTATGTGTTCCATATGTACATATTCTATGTTTTAACTATGTATTTATTTCAAAAGCCAAAAGCTAGTTGCAGACAGGATTTTGTTGTGATGGAATTTTCATAGTGATCGCTTTGAGAAAGAATTCAAAGCATAATTTCTTTAGCGATTTTGTAGCAAAATAATACATTCCTGCAAATTTCACTTTTCTTTCTCCTATTATAGGAAAATTCTGTAAGCACAAATTTAAAAATTTCAAAGTTCAAAATTTAAGACAAAAATAATCATATTTCTTTTTGTAAATACCATTGAAACTTGTAATACACCAAAAAGAATGTGTATGAAAAAGGCGACATTGAAATAATATTTTTCATATGCGTGGTTGCCTGAGTAATTGTTATGTGTATGGTTATCAGAGTTTGGTAAATTCTGTAGCTTTGGTGATTTTTACTAAGGTGCTTGCAATAATTCGAAAGTATTTTAATTTGTTGATTTCCAAATTTTAAAATAATTTAATATTAATCCCTCTGTTTTAAGTTTTTTTTTTTTTTTTTTTTTTTTTTTTTAAGAGAGAGAGGAGGGTGAGAATAAACAGTGGCTCAGACTGTTTATTTATTGATGAAAATGGATCTTTTATAGCTGTTTTATCTCTTACTTCATTAATATATATTTTATCTTTAAATATTAGTATATGGTAATTAATGTATGACTTTTATAAATCAAACGCAAAGTTTAAATGTGGTAGTATATTGTAATGTTGCAGTGAAATAGTGGGAAAACAAAAATTTTTGCTGAAAAATTAAAAACATTACTGTAAACAAGTAAAGGGCACCCAGGCAGAGTCTGTTTTACTGTTTGTTATATTATTTCGTGTTTTCTTCTACCCAGAATATCTAGGCATACAGTGTATGCATATGCACTTAGCATATTTTGAATGGGCTTTAAAGTAACAAGAATAAAAGAAGGTCTTAGGGCAAATGGCATTCTCATAAATAAGAAGCCTTATCACTGTTAAGTGATATGTGAAGTTGAAAGAAAAGCTTAGCCTGTAGGAGACGGGCCTTTAATATGATTGCTATTTGTTCATTATCAGATGTAGGATAGCTGAGCTTGTAGGAACATAAGCCTTTAATGACTGCTATTTGCCCATTGGAATTGTGAACTATCAGGCTTTCAGGAACGTTTTCTGCCACTGCAAATATTGTCTGCACAAGCAGTTTGTGTTGGCATGTTTAATGATGTTTTGTCAAATGATTTTTTTCCATTTGCTAGAAAAAGACTTGCTTTAGAACGTTGTGGTGTGAAATTTGTAAAAAAAAATATTGTTGCCTTTAAATACAAGGTGTCTGAAATGGAACTATCATGTTACCAGATTAGAACCATCATTTATTTCCAGTTCTGTTGGGGGAAAAAAAAAAAAAAAAAAAATATCATCTACATAATGTCGCCAAATTGTGTACAGCTTCTCTGGCCAGCCTACTGATGTTGACAAAGCCCATCTGCAAGAACTTATGGAAAAAGATTAGTTATGCAACTGCTTGAAAACTTGCTAAGATGTTTGTGCCATGTGCATTAGTCGTGTTGCGTGTCATAAAGTTGGCGCACAACTTCAACTGTTGGGTGCCACATGAGCTGACTCGAACAGATAAGAACAGACGTGTTCCGGCATGCACTAATCTGCTCGAATATCAACGCAAAGTCTGGACCAGATTGTCACTTGTGATGGAAAGTAGATTTACTTCAACAACACAGGCTGAAAAAGGGGTTGGTCTAAGCCTGATGAGCCTATTGGGAACATTGCAAAGGTGGGATTGCCATGGTATCATCCACAAAGAGTATTTGGAAAAAAGATAAAACCCTCAACAGTAAGGTATACAGCAAGATGCTAGTCCATCTTGATGCTGCTATCAAGGGAAAATGTCGAACCAGGTTCGGTGCAAAAACATAATGTTCCACCAAGGTAATGCAAGACAACATGTGTCTGCATTAACCGGCTGGACTCTTTGGACTCGAATGGGATCTTTTACTACACCCACCAATAGCCTGACATTGCTTCTTTGGAGTTATACCTTTGTTCACACCTGCAGCTACATCTTGCTGGTGCTGCACATGATGTCTGAATGAGGTTGATCTATTTTTGGACTCGCAGCCACCAAGTTTTTGTGCTGAAGACTTTGAAAAACTGCCAAAACGTTGGCAGAAAATCATACATTTTTATGCTGCTTTCATGTTTTTTGGTAGAAAACTTTTATTACAACCAGTTACATTCTGTGTGCTAGTTAGTGTTGAAATGATCCTTTTTTTTGGAATCTTTGCAGGTTCCTTTTGATGAGATAATGTTTTATGGTAAAAGTTTAGTTTAGTGTACCCCTTGGCGAAATTTGGCGATACATGGATACCGATTTTGTGCAATTCTTCGACTCGTTATTTTGGCTTGCGAAAAAAATCGATGCTACACAAAGCCAAAATAACAAGACAAACAATTACACAAACTCTGTTTCCATGTACACATTGACTTATTTTCACTTAAAAAAAAAAAAAAAAAATCCCCGAATTGCACAAGAATGTGGCATTGCGCACTCCTTATTCGACTCGTTATTTTGGCTTGCGAAGAAAATCGATGCTACACAAAGCCAAAATAACAAGACAAACAATTACACAAACTCTGTTTCCATGTACACATTGACTTATTTTCACTTAAAAAAAAAAAAAAAAATCCCTGAATTGCACAAGAATGTGGCATTGCGCACTCCTTTGACTTTATCCATGTACACTTCGATCTATTTTCACTTAAAAAAAAGAACCCAGAATTGCACAAACTTGCAATGTGCACTCTCTTTACGTTGTCCATGTACACATCGATATATTTTCACTTAAAAAGTCAAAGGAGCACCAAATTCTACAGTATAGGCAAACAAAAATACATAATCTCAATAAAATGCATTTTAAACCAAACAATAAAATAACATAAAAAAGGAAAAACGTGTTATACATTTAAGCACTACCAAAAGCAAATATTCACTTACCCTGTTTAGAAGTTCCTTCGTCTTTATTTGTGGCACAATTCCTAAAATTATCTGAACTTGTCCGTATATCGGCGTTGCCTCATAAATTCTCAAAAATAAGTAAAATATATCCTGCGTAATTCCTGACTGTCGATGACACTTTTTTCGAAAATCTCTCTACACCACACTTCTGTCTTGAATTTTCGAGTTCGCTTCGTAACCCAGAGACACGTAAAAATCAAAATATCAATCATATTCAAATGACTTTTTTCAAACCAGGTACTCTTTCTGATCGAATCGCTTCACATAGTGACCATCTGAACCTTTCTTCCTACAAACCCATTCAAATCCATCTAAAAGGTTTTTACGTTCGACTAGAGGCATATCCTTCCTACATACAGGACAATTATAATGAGAGCTTGAAATTATAATTGTTAATTATAATTGTCTTGTATATACATACAGGACAATATAATGGCTACTAAGTAAACCTTCATTTACACACCAGTTCAATTTAACGCTCTTTTCCCCTTTCATTACAAATCGTACAGAAACTTCAAATTAATCTTACTACATTCGGCCATTCTACCGTCTAAAGAATCAAACCAACACACACCACAAAAACGCTTACAAAACATCCCATGATTCAAAATTTCCCAGAATCTTGCACCCGATTACGTCACAATAGGGTTTCCATAACATTCAACTACTCAGGCTACCATAAATGAAACAGCAACTTGGCGATAAATCGAGCAACAACTTCACCATAATACAAGGGGTATCTTAAAGTCTACTCTACCCTGTTTTATTATATAGAGAACCATTTTTGTGTTAAAAGGATGCTACCCATTGACAGGACAATGCTTGTCCATTTCATATTGTAATTTAGAATCTTTCATTACTGCATTTTGAACATTTAGTTTTGTGTATGATTAAAAGAAAGAAATGTGGTTATAATATGTCATTAATATATTATTCTTCAGTTTGTGCAATAGGGATTATTTTTTTAAATATGAGTAACCTATTGTTTATTCTGCATCTCTTTTGTATACATATGCACGCACACATGTGCATGTATTCAAGTATGGGATAGCAGAGAAATTTTAGTATAAGAAACTTTTCAAGTTGGTTTTTAATTATATATCAGTTTATGAAAATATTGCTCTGAACCTAATAATTATTTATCCTTTCATTTACAGGAAGAGCAGCGTGTAATATCTCAGTCTAATGGTAGGCATCCTTCACAACATGAAAGTGAAAGCAAATGGTTCTATCAAGATCCTCAAGGGGAAATTCAAGGTAGTTTTCTATTTTTTTCATTTGAAACATTTTATGACAACCTCTAACCTTTACATTCTGTATAGCAAGTGATCCATTATGCAATTTCGTTTTGTTCTAGTATACATTTGTTTTAAATCTTTTTTTTAACAATTTGGAAGAGATGTAGTAAATTTAATTAAAAAATTTTTGTGTAATTATGATGATGAAAATAAGACTTAAAAAATTTCTAGATGACAAATTATTATTGTTAATAATATTGATAATTAATTGTTGGTGATTTAACTCCATTCTATAATTTTTAAGGGGAAAGGGCATTCAAATCATTTAGAAATTTTATTGTTGTCAGTATATTTTTTTTGGCGGGGGGGGGGCTAAAATAACAGTTAGTTGTATAATTGACATTATTCAACTCATTTTTATTTTTTGGGCTTAACAGCATAATGTTTGAAATATTATAACTTGTATTACTATTTTATTATACAGAAAGCAATAAATGATTCCTAAGTAATAAAAATGTTAAAAAGAAATGTATGTATATTATTTTTTCCAGCTCATTTTAGTGAGTTTCGTTCAGATGTTGCGAAGCGACTAGCATAAGAATGAGTGTTAGTCAATTGATTTGTGTTATCAAGATTTTAACATTTGCTGTGATTATTGTATCGAATAAAAATATCTGTTAGTAATGAGTTGAATCTGACTGTAATTATATTTATAAAAATATTAATTTTTTATAGAAATTACACATTTTGTTGAAGATCACTATACAAAATCCTAAATATTCAGCAATACAGTTAAATATGAATATTGAGTTACCCACATAGCATGCCACTATGAAAATGATTACCAATGCTTGTCATAAAATATTCTTAATGAAAAAATGAATAAGTTTCTGTTGTTATATGTTGAAAAGGAAAATAATTTGCCAGTGGTACCTAGACTTACTAACTCAGCTCATTTCCATATTTGGTTTCGATATCAAATTTTTCATTTCTTTATAGAAAAATTAATCCATTTCAAATTTTAAGGAAAAATACAAGGTGAGACTGAAAAGTAAGGTGACTGATGTCGTAATAACTATATTATATATTTAATATATAAATGCATCACTGTCCTTCAAAGTAGTTCCTGCCGTCTACAATACACTTCTGACAACGTTCATACAAGTTCTGGAAACTTTTAAAAAAGTCTTCCTTTGAGACAGGTGTTAAGTTCCTTGGTAACAGCAGCTTAAATGTCTGAGATGATTGAAAATTGGTGTCCGTTTAGTGCCAATCGTGGAAAGAGGAAAAAGTCTGCTGGCACAAGATCAGGGGAATAAGGAGGGTGAAATAACTCCATAACCTTTTGCTGTGCGAGGAATCGTCTAATTTTATTGCCATGTTATAAAACACATTGCGTTTTATAACATGGCAATAAAATTCACATTAACTGTTTGACCTTCCGGTACGTATTCTGTATGGATAATTCCTTGTGCATTGAAAAAGGTAATCAACATTGTCTTAACCATTGATTTTTCAAAATGAAACTTTCTCTGTTTTAGCAATAAGGGACTGCGCCACTTCATGCTTTGGCGTTTCGTTTGTGGATCATACGCGAAACACCACATTTCATCTCCTGTAACAATTGACTGTAAAAAGGTGTCATCTTTATCTGCTGCATTGATGAAGTCACCGCAGGAGTCCAATCACTGCTGTTTTTGTTCATCGCTTAAGTAATGAGGGACAAACGTCTCACAAAGTTTCCATTTACCCAATCCTGTGGCAATATTGTTCAGACGATTTCACGAGGAAGATTCAATTCATTTGCGCTTTCTCTATGTATATAGCAATCTCTTTTGCGGATGTGGTATATGCATACCTGGGTTGCCACATAAATATATTTGGCAGCACACATAATTAGATTGTCACATAATTATTTTGGCAACATACTGCTTTGCCTCATGAACACTTTTTTTACAAGTTTTTTGCAGGGGTGTGGGACCATTCTGTAACCCTGTAGTTTTTTATTTCGAATAATAAGTATAACATGATCAATGTAAGGTTGTATGAAGCTATTTATGTATATCAAATGGATCTTTAGCATATTAAGGGAAATTTAGTTCCCTGTCCCTTTGTTATCCTAATTATCAGGCTTTTAGATGTTAACTCAAATTTTTTTCTCGAAAGGTCCATTTACTTCACCAGAAATGCTTGAGTGGTTTAGTGCAGGTTACTTTACAATGAGTTTGATGGTGCGGAGAGGTTGTGATGAAAAGTTTTCCCAACTAGGTAAGTTATTTTCCTGAACTATGTGCATTTTAATTTTTCCCATGTGTCTAATGGATGTTTGTATTATAAACATTTAGCAGTGATCTACCAAATATTTATAAAAAGGTAATATTTTCATAATGTTTGTTCATAATATTTTGTAAGTTTCTTAACCCTGTTGAAGCATTGTTTTCTGAATCTGCATGAGCAAGGGTTCTCAAGTGTGTGTCTTAAAGATAGTGTTTATAATTCTAAAAAAAATGAAACATTTTAAATTTAAATTATTCATAAAGGATTTTTTTTTCAATTTAATAAAATGTAAATGTTATATATTAGAGCAAATAGTGAGCAATAATAATGAGTAGTAGCAAATATGAAGATTTATTATTAATGAGGATTAACGAGCCTGTTTAATTGTAGCTAGTCTCAATGTGTCAGGCTTTGTCTTTTGTAATTTCAAACATAAATCAGATTCAAGTTGCAGTAGTGTTGCCCTGTATCGCTGAAAATCCAGTTTAGCAAAGATATGATGGGTTGAAAGCTATGTGTGTGGCTGTTATTTTAAAATCATAATCTAAGAATCATGCAAAATAGTCATTAAATTTGGAATGTCTTTCATTTTTATTTTATGTGAATAATGCTACAAGTTGCTTTGTCTTAATTCTGAAGCCTACTAGTGTTTTTCTAGAACATAATCTCTATAAGATTCAATGAACAGTAAGATCTCCTTTTTAAAAAAATATGTATTGGTCATGAGAATCTGCACAGATATACTTGTTCCTTAATCTATAGATATCGGAAACCTTTTCCTAAAATGGATGTTTTGCCATGTACCTGTGCAGACATTTCACTCTTCAATTTGTGTATGGCCCTTTATAGGATCTCGGACTTTAAAATTAAATATCTTGGTTAGCTTTTGTAATGATTTTCGTTCTTTGTTATTAGTATACGATTTTCCTTAAATGCAGCTAAATTTTGTACAGTCGAGCTCCAATTAATCCAATTTGAAAATTCAAAATAAATTTTGGCACTTCCTGATTATAGCAAACTCCGAGATTGAATCGCTAATAAACTGAGAATCTTGCTATGTATTTTATTTTTACCAAGATTTTTCAATTTAGTTTTGGTTTTTTAAGATATTCCTTGATTTTATGTGAATATGCAGTTAATGGTCTATAATTTACTAAATAATGAGGTGGATGCTATGTTTTTTTTTTTTTTTTTTTTTTTTTTTTTTTCAAAAAAGAAGTCTTACCTGATAAACGAGTATGGAAAAACAGCCATAATGGGTAACTATATGTTAAGGATAGTGGTAGGGTTTATAATAAAAAAATTTCAGAAAAAATTATAAAGAACAGAAAGGCCTCTGTGTATTATTGTTTCCAGAATATTGTTGGTCACTGCTATTAGATTTATGTATTTTTGGGCAGAAGAGCTGACGTAAATCAAATCCATCAAATGGTGTGACAAACAGCTCAATATGTATAAAACTTAGCAATTACATGTGGGAAGTATGCCCTACATCTGATGCAAAGATTCATTGGGTACCCTATTAAAATAATTGAAATCGATGACAGTTTGTTCATCCAGTGAAGGAACATCAGCGGCAAAGTACACAACAGTTTATTTTTGGAGGAATATGCCAGGAAGATGGAAGTGGTTTGTCCTTCAAATTTAGAATACAGATACTTAAACACTAATGGAAAAAATTATTCATCATGTGCAAGATGGATCAACAATCTATTGCAACTGCTGGAAGGGACATAAAATGAAGCAACTTGAAGAAGCTGATCCCAGTCACTTTAATGGTTATTAAAAATATTCTTAGCAAATAGCATCTGAGTTTTATTATTGTTATTATTATATAGTGTAGTGTCTTTTTATTTTTACATTCATGCATCACAAGGTTGGCAAAATCAGTTGCTGCCTAAGGTTCAGGGCCACTATAAAAGAAGGTACCCAAATTTTAAGAAACATAAAAGTAAAATTTATAAAATTATTTCACCGAATTACCTTTAATACATAAATAATTGTAGTTATTTTTCCTTTATACTGTTCAGTTTCTTTTTGTGTAATTTATTTTTATGTAGTTTTAAAAAATTATGTGATTTGATATATACTTAAGTTTTTTCTGGTGTCTCATACATATAAGATTCTGGGCAATAAGTGTGCTTGGCCCTTTCATTGAAAAAATGTACTTACTTTTTAATGGAAGTTTGGAAGAGCTACAGCATGAAAATATTAATCAAAATATAGTACAACAAAGCCTGATATGAATTTATGGCAAGCAATGTGGCAGCAGCTTATCACACTGGATTGTACAAATGATTTCATTGGCTGTGAAACTCATTTCGCTGAAGTTGCTAATAATGTTTTGGAAATAAGACAACAGCTTAATCTTAGTGAGTTAGATTATGACAACTTTCTGGTGGTGTTATTTTTTGTCAAGCTGCAGAGACTTATTTGTACTCTCAATATAATGAATATTTATTGAATTCTTATAAGATGATATTCTTATTGCCCAGAAGCAAAAATTTGTATAAAATATTCATTTAAATAAATTTAAAGAAAAAAAGATTTTAGGCACCAGTGAGCAAGAATATATTTGCATACTGTTGAGTCAGAATTTTCAACTTAGAAATATGCATGTAAAAACTGAATAATAAAAATTTATAGGAGTGTTAGATGAAATTATATCCTGCCAATTTTTTAATGTGTGGAAGTCCTAAAGGATCATTTGAATCTCATGTAATTGGAAATACTTTCCTTTTATTTATTTATTTATTATTTTTTTATTTTTTTTTATCTGTGTAGAATTCTAATGCCAGTAAAATTCTAGTAAAATCCCAGTAAAATTCTAAGAAAATAATATGGAACGGAAAACTCGTCTCCATTACTTCAAAACAGATCTTTTCAAACAAAATGTAAAATTTTAAAATATATTAAATAACCAAAATTAATTAAGGTAAAAATCATGTTATATAATATGAGAAAAATTATTTAAATCTTATCAGTAATGATCCATTATGAATATTAAAGGTAAACTTAACGGGTTCTACTATGTAATTAATTATTTGAACTGAGAAACAGAAAAGTAAAGTATACCAAATGATTATAAGTGAGAATTTATTAAAAAAAACTTGTTAAATCTCATAACATATATCATCCTTATTGTATGATGACCTGCATTAGAAGTTAATGAATTCAAAGTATGAAATTAAATTCGTTATAACATGATGAATGCCCTGCTTAAGGAAATTTTATTCTATCTCAAATTGATTTTTAAAAATTATAGATTAAGCTTTTCTTTTTTCTCAAATATATGAAGCTCTTCATAATAAAAAAGTTTACTTTTGTAAAACTTAAAAAACTGTCTGTCAGTTTTTTTTTTTTTTTTTTTTTTTTTGGATTTTGTTTGGTTTATTTGAATATGGCAAAGCACTAAACGGCTATCTGCTTAAGGGGAAGGATGTGTTCATAGAGGACTTTCTAAACTGGCTTGCATATATATTACACATGTAGAAAACCATTAAAATGCCCATACAGCCAGTCCGTTCACCGGAAATCAAACCCAGACTGAACTAACAATCGATATTCAGTAACTTCACCACTCAGCCACTGATGCGATCTGACTGATAATGAAAATCATTTGAAGTTTCACATACAAGCAAGCATTCAGTTTTATATTGGGATAAAAATAGTCAATGTATATATATAATTGTCAAAACATAGTTGTTTTCACACTATGTATAGTTATCAAAGTTTTTTGGTTGTATGTACAGTTGTCAGAGTTTTTTTTTTTATATAATTATAAAATTTTAATGTTTAAATAGTCTTTGTTTCGTAATATTCAGCATTATATTCTGTCCTTCATAGACAGATTTTTTTAACTCATTTTGTACAAAAGCTCGTTTTATACAAAATAGAAAATATGTGTAGAGCTCTAAAAAATTACAAAGCAGAGGTGATTTGAATTGGACAGAAAATTAAAAGCACTTTAAAAATGAAAGCCATTAAATCACTAACACAATGAATGGAATTTAAAAGTCAAGAATAGTAATTTTTTGCTGTCAGTTTTAATCTGATATTATTAACCTCAAACTGAAATTATGGAGAATAATGATGTTGTAATTAAAATTATTATGATTAGTATATATTCTTAAATTTCACTCTATAAAATCAATAAAATTATTTAAGAAATTAAATATTGGTTCGGCTTTCAGTTTTAAACTTCAATTACTAAATGTGTATATTATTTATAATTTTAGGGGAACTTATTAAATCCTGGGGCCGAGTTCCTTTCATGCCTGGTAACAGCCCACCTCCTATACGGGTAAGTTTTGAGCTATATCAGTGAAGTGAGATATGTATAATATTTATTTTACATAAATATGGAATTTATCAATTTCATCTATATTTTTGTCTATGGTTTGATATTGTGTATAGGTTACTCCTATGACATCATCCCTTCCAACACCCATGACTCAAACCATTGTGCCTAATCCAGTAGCAGCACCCACATCTGCGCAGCTACCGAAACAGGATGATCAGCTGTTGGCGTTGCAGCAGCAGCTGATTCAGCAACAGTTTATGCAACAGACCCTTATGATAAGGTAAGTACAGAGGCTTTTCACACATTTTTTAGACAATGTATGTTGTATTCACAAAACTAAATTACATAAAATTCTTGTGTTTTAAATGTTCTATTTGACATCCCTTATTCTGAACTATCTTTCGACAATTTCCAGGATAATAATGCCTTTTGAAGTGGCAGAAGAGGTATTCTATCCCATTCCTCCCGAACAGCTTTCCAGAGTCCTGTTAGGGTTTTAAGACAATGTTTTGGATAATGCAGTTTTTAAAAGTCCGAAAGCACAAAAATCCATAGGTGACACATCGGGAGATTTAGTAGGGATATCAGTGAAGCCTTGATACCAGTTTTTTGTTTTATTTCTTTTAGGAAATTTACAGTGGATTTTGATGTGTGACTGTTAGCTATGTCCTGATGGAGTCTCACAGATTGATGGCGCTGTGGGTAAAGTGATGGTATTTCATTCGGAAAAATTGGCGATAAAATATGTTCCTGATAGTATTTGGAGTTAATCTTGACGTTTTTTTGCACTCTCTTTATTTTTAACTTGCCATTATAAGAAAAACCACCAACAATCATGAATCCCTTAGAAAAACTTGAACCATGTACTTAATTTTTTTTCTCCCCTTTTATAATATGAAATGGCTCTTTTTTTGTTACAATCATTTTAATACACCCATGCATCATCTATTGTGACAATTGTTTTCCATTCTCCTTTGGATAAGCATTTCTCATATAGAATTCTGCAGCGTGTCCTGCATTGAGCTATATGCTTTGGAAGAAGACGATGCACATTGCATTTTTTCGTTTTCTAAGATTTAAATCAACGTTTATCATTTTGTTTACAGTGAACACCAAGCATTTTAATGCTTTTGCGACTGTCCTTTGACTAGGGGGATTTTCTTTTAACATTAAACAATGTACCTTTGCAATAGTCGAAGATGTCCGTTTTTTCATTGGATACTTGTTTGTAATTTTTGTCCCACTTGAGGCTCCAATTTGACGTTTTTTTCCTTTCTTGTTGAAGATATTACCTATTGATGCTTTAGATATCACAAAACCACGACTCTCACATCATTTTTGGATAACGGAGTATGCATGTTTCTCTTCGGAAAGAGCATAAATGTAGCCTTCAAACCACTGCTTTGTTAAATCCGCCATTTTGAATAAAAAAAAAAACTTTCAAGCCACAGACGATAATTTTGACTTTTAAAATCATAGTACAATTGCAATTACTTCTTTTGTAGCAAACGATTTTTTATTACTGCTTACCAAAATCGTCTAAAAAATGTGCGAACAGCCTCTGTAGCAAAAGAAACAGATGTCCTTTAATAGCAAATCAGTTCATTAAACTTGAACTCATCTTTTATGCATTTTTCTGTATCCAAGATTGTCATAGATAATATTATACTCAAAGCTGTGATTTATTGAAATTCAATACTCACTTTAATGAAAGATTTGTTGCTTAATGTGCTCTTTCATTATCTGAGTAATGCTATCAATACGTCACTTTATCTTCTGTTAGCATTTTATCTCCAGTTTTTAAATCTTTCCGTCAATTACATCTTGCCATGACTCAGGCAATTATTTGTATACTGACACTTTATTCTGTAGATTTAAAGATTAGGCACCCTAGGATGGTGAAAAATTAATAATGATTTTTTGCTTTTCCTTGATGATAGTCGATATAGAGCTACTATGTTTATGAATTAAAGTGCCAGCACATTTTGCTTTATTGTTATAACTTCTGTATAGCATTATTAATCAAGAGATTTTATATCCTGAAATAAAATTTTCATTGAACAGACTTTTCCCATGCACAATGAAATTTTGCCGTTTCTTCATTCTATTGTACGTATTTAAGCAATGCTTATTGTGTCCAAATTCTGTTTATTCTAGCTTTTAATATACATATATAATTGTTTTGTAAACTAATTACAGATATTTATTGAAATATATTATTTTAAAGGCAAGCTCAATTGCAACAAATCCTAGCACAATTAAAGCAGCAGGAAAATTTTTCTAGTCTCAATTCACAGCAGCAGCAGCAAGTTGTCATGCAGCAGTACATGGCTCAACAACAAATGCCAAGGTAAATGATATGAATAATATTTTGTTAAATAAAACTTTTGTGATTTCTGTTTTTTCTTGTGCTGTAATGAAGTATTTGAACTCTTTGATCAAGCTTATTATTTGTGATTTTTTATATTTTTCTTTCTGAATTTTTCCACGTTGAAAATGAAATCGAAATGCTAATTTTGTCATGTTTCCATTATAAATAATAGAATACTGTCTTTCTAAAAAATTTTGTTAATGATGTTTTGGCGAGCCCTAAATTATAGATGTTTGAGAATATGTATTTTATGTAAAGCTTTTTAATAAATCATGCTATTATTTCCATATAATAAGTATATTGTTTGTATTGCATTTGACAATTAACTTTTTGCTTATTGCATCAGAAAGTACATTAACTTTCTACATAAAATATCATTAATTTTTTTTATGTGTAAAAATAATTTTGAATACTACTTTATGTGCTGTTTACTGAGATACATTATTATGAAGTACAACAGGGAAATGTGTATACATTTGAGGATGATAAAATTATGCGGTATGTGATGGTTTTAGCAGAAATGCAAATTTTCTGTTTGAGGCTTAATGCGTCCATAAATATGCTTCATATTTGGTATAAATATGTGTAAGGATTTCTCAAGCTTTTGATTTTCTGAATATAAAAATATGAAAATTTCATTTGGAACTTATCCCCATTCAGGCAACAAAATAAGGTGAAGCTTTCAAATGATATCCTCCTAGTTTTCTAGAAAGAAATGATTTTCAGTTGATCAGAGGATGTGTTACAGTTTGACAGATATATTGTTATGCAGATAACTCCTTGCCTGTTATAGTGAGGTGCATAATTTTGTTGCATAAGCAGCTGAAAGAGCAAGCAGGCTCTAACCGTTTTATAGGCATTAGCCACTACTAAGGCCAGAAGCAGTGATCTCTTTATTATTGAGGCACCTAATAGGTGGGCAGTATTGCCTCCTTTGAGGAGACGGACTAATTGCATCTATGCCTTCTCGGGGATTCAAACCCCGGCCTTTCGTTACAGCAGTCAGAGTCACTAACCACTTTCCCATCGGGTCAGATTTTATAAATGATGTAAACATGGTCATAATCAAGTATGACTTCTAAATAGCTAAAACTTTTTCCAAATGAATGGACATTTACGTGATTTGAGAGCTCATGAGTCATTTAGCCATCTCATCAACAAGAATACTGCTTAGGTGCACCACAGGACACCATACGCTTAGACCAATATAGTATCTCCAAGAAGGAACAGGGAGCAGATTATATGCAGCAGACGACATGGCTATCAACTCTCGTGATCTTACCAGGAGACTTTTTTATTTTTCATCATGTCTCTCAGTTTTTAATTTTTAGCTTTTTCTAATGAAAGTGTTTTTCAGCAACAAATGAAGTTTATGAAACTAATCAAACTTAAATTTTACAAAATCCATATCCCAATCCTAGCAATTTCAGAATAATTTTTCTTATTAAAGTTTATTTGATATGATTGTCTTAATTTACAGTGTATATTTGTAAAACATTTTAGGAAGATTCAATCAATGTTTAATTAAATTGTATTTAATTTTATTGCACATCGGTATATGCTACTAAGTTTATCCATGCAATATATAAAAACTGCTTTGTTAAATGAAAGCTTTCTTTCCATGCTCTGGATTTTAGTATAAACATGTAAGATAATTACAAAATGAAAGTCGCAAAAATATATAGAAAGATAATAGAAAGATTAGAGTATCTAATTAAATATTAAGATATTTTTGTTAAAATATATTATTAATAGTTCAGTAAACTAAATCATGCATTACAAAATGAATAAGTCAATTTGTTGTTCTTTTGAAATGGCATTACTGCACATTGCAAAAAGTCCCAGATATTCATTGTTTTTCATATTTCAAGCTTAATTATTCAAGGAGTTGCCTATACGTTTGACTTTGGGCTGGCAATCAGCCTCTCCTGTACCATTTGACCAGCTGCCTGAAATTTTTGCCCTGTTTTGTGTAGGATCAAAAGGCTGAAGTAGTTTATATTTTGATCATTGAAGTGTTTCTTATTGTACTGGTTGACAGTGATCACATCTGTGACATGATTCAGTAGAAAAGTGCTGAGGAGTGTAAGAAAATGGTTTTAGCACTAATCAGTACCATTTCATCTAAAAGTGTAACAGCTTACTATCAGTCATTAAATACAGAATTAAGGAAATGACCGAAAGAAATTTCCTAAACGGTATAAAATATTGTATTTTTTCTCCTCTTGAGTCTTTATCATCATCATGATTCATAACACAGTGGTCGATATTACTTGGATGAATGCACAATTCACTATTTAACTGTAGGAATAACTTGCTAATTGTGCATAATTCTTGTTCCTGTTTTATGATATCTGAGCTGTCAGCTGAACATTACATTCCTGACACTAAAATGTTATCTATTGCTCTTTGTAAATGCATTATGTGTCCTTAAAATGTTAGGCTTATAAAGACTTGCTTCTAATCTTGACATTTATTATTTATTTCATTCCCTACCCTAATCTTCATATTTGTGACCTTGCTCATTAATTGTGTTATGTCTCTGAATTGTGGAAATGCTTCTGTTTGTGGTGATGAACTGTGGAAATGCATTTGTAAAAAAGATCAGTTTGGTTATTTGTTAAACTCCATCAAGATGGCTGTTTAAATAAAATGAATACAGTATCTGCAGAGAATGGGTGCTACTTTCAGTGGAGTAAATACTAAATTTTTTATCTTGCATCTCATACTGTAACTTGTAATTCTAGCTACAGGTTTACAGTATTATTATTATTGAGTAATTTAACATTTAGAGTTTCCTCTTCTCATATCTTTCTCCATAGTACAGTGCAGTGTATTTATTAAAATTTTTAGAATTTAGCTTGGTCAGTTTATGGGATGCATTTTTCTAAATATACGAAATTTAAATATTTTAAGTAGAATATTTTGAAAAGTCATTTAGTTTTTGAAAATTAATATCTTATTTATTAAAAAAAATTTAACAGGGTTCGTAGCGGTCCTTACAAGTGCTTATAAGTCCTTATATTTGAAAATAGAATATAAAGGCCCTTATAGGTGCTTACTTTTTCTTTAAAGCCTTTATTTTTTTGTTTTTAGTGCTTATTTTTTGCTTTTAGTGCTTTTATTATTATTATTATATTATTTTTTTTTTCAATGAACGCGCATTTTTTCTCTGTACCAAAGCCGAAACTAAATAAACAACTTTTCTTCCTTATATGCAACGTCAGATGGTGAATCATACTTCCGGAAATTGCTTTTCCCCCCCTTTCTCTGCATTAACGTAACCTATGGTGCGCGCGCGAGAATACAGACAGGTGCGTGTCATTCTGTTGGTCAAAGAATTGCGAAAACGGTAGAAAATTCCGGTACCTTCGGTATTCTTTTACCTCCCACCCAAATACTACACACGTTTGAATTTCTATCAAGATTTTAATAATTTACATTCTTGTTCCGCGTGGTCAGTTCATATTTGTGTTTATTATGATCGTTATTCTTGTATTATGAGAATATGCATGAATATTTATAATAATATAGTTGCAGTAACTGCTGAAGTATAGATAAACTTCCAAAAATGGGCGTGTTTTTACACAGATTAGCTCTCTAAGGAATAATATTCGGAATGGCTTAAATAAAAGAAAAGTAATTGAATAGTCTTTTTTTTTTTTTTTTTTTTTTCCAATATGTTATACAGTAAGGAGGTTGGGAGGTTATCTCCTTTTTCCGCACAATCTCTAATATTGAAGGAGCGGACTTTTTTTTGTCACTGTGCAATCTGGATTGAATAGGACTAAAAGTTTTTGCGGTAAACCCAACCCAAGCGAAGATTGATTCTATTCCGGAAATTTAACACAGTCTGTTGAAAATTAGAATCAGAAACACCCCAGATTAGTAAGTCTCTTTCTTTTCCTTTATTTAGTTCTTCGTTCTCCGAATACCGGCAGCTGTTGATTCCGATTGCGTAATATCACATGTGGAAGAGTTACGCCGCACGTATTGCGCAATAACGTTTGCGGTATTTGATAATTAATTTTGATGTTTAGTCTGAAATTTGTTTATAAACACTTAAAAGAGTTTTACTGTGCTTTCTAAGCAGAATATTTCTCATTTCCGTTGGTCTCTGTTTATATGATGCACATATCGAAATGTCAAAATCATTTATTTAGCCGAGAAATCTAAAGAACGGCTACAATCTGCCCTACTCCTATTTTTCCAGTTACTATCCGGAATATTCGGCAATTTCCGAGTATGCGGGTTAGTTGAGCTTTAACTGTTAAAGGATGACTGCAGGAAGCAATTTCCCGTCTTCTGATTTCAGAAGTGTGCCTCTATTTTACTTAAATTACTTTGCTTGGAATATATGTTAAGGTAAAACTGTTATGGAATGAAAATTTAGAAAATGTTCAGAATTTTGATTTAACTTAAATTATTTAAATATTAATATGAGTGGAAAAATAAATTGCATTTATTATTAGGTGCCAAACGAATACAATTAATATGGCTTATTATTATTTATTTTCTATATTTTGAATTGAAATTTGATCATTAAATCTTGTAATATATTTTAGTTCTGCATAGTTTTTTTTTCTCTCATTGTAAACTAATTCTGTAAATTGAACTGTCATTTCAAATTAAAAAAAAAAAAGTTAATCGTTTTTCATGGTTGAGGTAAAGCTCATTCTCTTAATAAATATTGCATTGCTCATATTTTAAATTACAAGTGTAATTTTTCTTTTAAGGTTATGCAGTTGTGTATAATGTAGTTAGACAGGTGCTTATTTTTTCCTTAAAATGTGCTTGAAAAGTGCTTATAGGTGCTTATTTTTTTAACTAAAATGTGGCTATGAACCCTGTTTAATAGGCCTAGTATAGGTCCTCTGCCTGAACAGCCAAATCTTCTGGAATCTGTAACTCCTGTCCAGATACCTCTGCTAGGCCTTCCTTTGCCACCACTTATGAAAAATGACATGTCTCTGTGGAATTTAGCTCCTGCATCAGGTAAATTTTCTTTTTCTTTTATTTCTAGCTTTATTTCTCCTGTATTTAAGTTATCCTTTTAAAATAAAGGTTTTTACAAAAGAAAGGGAAAGAATTCGTTCTTCAATTTCAGAAAAGTCTTTTATATATATATATTAAATTTATTTGGCATAACAGTAATAATTCTGGAACTTTTCTTTATTTTTTTAAAATGAAACTTGCCATTCAATATGCAGTTTCTCCACAAAAATCCATGTTTGGCCTTTGTTTTCTCAACTGTTGATCTCAACATATGCTTTTCACTGCAAAAGTGTTTTAAATAATGCAAATACTTATATTGGTCATTTTTCTAAAAAAGCAGTTTTACAAAATAGTAACTTTTCGTATGTTCTCTTCTTATAGTTACATTCAGTAAAAGTTATTCTTTTAAGTAAAGTGAACATGCACACACACACACACTCCAAAAAAAAATTATGGATGGTATTTAAAGTTTGAAATCATATATCTTGACCACATACAAAAAAGAAAGGAAAATCTTCTTGCACATTTGAAATATAAAAATTGTTCATAGTGTACAGAAATGTAAAATTTTAAATTTATTGTGCAGTAATTTGGTTCTAATTTATTTGAATTCTCATAAAGAATTTTGAAAATGATTAAAGGTTTTTATTTTCTTAAGGCAGCAGTCTTCATAAATCAATATTCATACTGCAGATTAGGAAAAAAAATATTCTTCTGTAAAAGGTAAAGAATAATGCAGCATTAAATTGCAGTAATCTGAGAATTTCATTTTGTTAGACTTGGAATTTTTTTCATATTTGGAAAATTTTCATAGTTTGTTAAGCCCCTCATGAGCAAACTTTTTAAATATTTTTGTTTCTTTTTTGCATTGCTGTATGTTTGTTTATGTAATACATTTTTAATGGCAATTGTAGATTTTTATCAGGTATTTTTTGTAATCTTTCTGCCACTAATTGGTTTTATATATGTTTATTCCTTTATTTTGCGTTAATCTGAATAAATGGACATTAGAATTGGAAAAAAATGCTTACTAACTGGAGTAATACGGTTTGTCTCTTGGACCTTGGTAAAATATTTTCTCTTTCATGTTGTCAGCCTTTAACAATTTTTCTTCAACTTGTTGACCTTTTGGAAGTTTGTACGAGGGTTGCTATTTATATTTCCGGCCTAATAACGAATATATATATATATCATCAAAATTGGTTTTATTGTTTTTCAAAATATTCTCCATGTAGATCGATACACTTTTTTTGCATGCATTTAAACGAATTTTCGGAGCACTTTTTCACTCCAATTGAGGTAACTCTAAAACACGCATTTTGAATGCATCAACCGCTTCATCACACATCACAAATCGCTGGCCTTAGAATTTTATTTTGATGTGCGGAAATTAAAAAAAGTCATGGGGTGCCAAATCAGGGCTGTACGGTGGATGACCCATCAATTCGATGTTTTTGCCCGTCAAAAATTTCTTTGTTTGAGCTGATGTATGAGAGCTTGCATTGTCATGATGGAGAATGATTTGCCTCTTCTGCTTTTTTTGAATTTCTCTGATGATTTCTGGCAAACAGATGGTCGTGTACCATTCATAATTGACTGTCCCTGTGTTCCTCTAACACCACTGTCGCCACGTGAATATTGAAGAAACGGGCAACCATTTGCTTGGATGTGCTTTTTCTGCGAACAGATTTGTTGGATTTGGCTCATGTTGGGAGAACTTTACAGTCGACTACTGTTTTGTTTTGGGCTCTTATGCATAGATCCATGATTTGTCATCTGAGTAGATGTTATACACAGACTTTATACAACCTTGAATCTATTTTTCCAACATTTCCTTGCGCCAATTGAAATAAGCTTTCTTTTGAGCATTTGTCAGATTATGCAGGATCCAATGCGAACAAATCTTTTTTATGCCCAAATGTTCATGTAACATCTTATTGATGCTTGTCATATCAATGCTGAAGGTGCTTCAACCTCGCAGTATCTCGCGTGACAATCTTACTTTATCAGGTCATGCATGGCAATCGATATTTTCTGGCACAACAACTAATTTTGAACCACCTTCATGGAATTCGTTCTAGAGCGAACGTTGACAGTGATTGGATTCGTTATAACAGTTTTTTACAGTGCTGTAGGATGGTGCTTTATCGCTGTCTAAATCATCAATAAAGTTCATTGAAGCACACTTTACAGTCCATGTCAAAAGTTATGAAAAATAATTGCACAAAAATGTTTACGAGCAAATTCCTTTTTTTTTGCCCAAGATGAATTTTTCAGTTTATTGTAATCGCGTATTGCGCTAGAATGGCAAAACGTTCTAAAGAAATTATGGTTAAAAATATCAAACTTTCAATTGAAATCGTCTGTAGTCACTCAGCATCACTTACTGTTGCCAAGGCCAGAAATATAAATAACAACCTTTGTAGAATGTATAATTTGGAGTGAGCAAGGCCAGCTTGCTTAAAAATTTCTCCCTTCTGCTGGTGCTGCAACCCTTCTCTTTTTTTACTTCCTTAAACAGGAGTTTGCAAACAGCCCAAATTAGTTGAATTAATCTGTATTTTATGTACTACTCAATAATTTTTTTAATATTTTCTCTATTTAGTAATTTGAAAATTTGATCATTTGAAGAAAATTTTGGCCTTGTGCGTCTTCTCTTTAATTTGTTTTACTTCATCTGTAAAAACTTTTAATTACTTTTAACTGCTATAATTATTAAGTTTTCTTCATCTGTCCTAGTGATTTAAGAAAATCCTAATAAACTTTTAGCACATAATAATTTATAATCATGTACATTGCTACTAAGGCAATATAAAATGATTGCCATCTAAATAAATTTTGCTGATAAGAGATTCAGGTGTTTTTATTGATTTTTTAAATTTTTCTCACATTATATTTTCGGACAAGTATAATATAATAACTTGAAACTTTTGCCCTAGGAGCAGCAGGTACATGGCCAATGAATATAAATGCAGCACAGCCTCCAGGTGGTAGCATATGGGATGTAGATCTTTCAAAATCGAATACTGAAGATTCTGAGTTGGAAAAAGTAAGATACTTTATTTAGTTATGGATCATTTGATGTTGATTTCTTGTCATCATTCACTGAGTGAATCTATTTTTTCTTATTACTAAAGTTTTTTGGGGGGTAGAAGAGGAGGACATTGTTTTTCTTTTTCATCTGAGGAAGGAGCTTTTGATTAACTTAGATTTTGTTAAAAATGTTATCTGGTACATTTTTGAATTTGTAGTTTGCAAATTTATATGTTCAACAGTAACTACTAAGATAAATCTAAGGATGAATAAGGGTGTGGGTTTTATGGAAGTGTATAGATAAATATTGATTTATTATTACGACTGTTTTCTACTAAATCAAATGAAAATTTTACATAGGTTTTAATCAAATTCTGTTTTTTACCTAAAAGAGTGAAAATGTTTGGTTTTTAAAGTCTGTTTCTTTTTTTTTAGTTAATATAGCATAAAAATGTAATTTTTGCACATTTGTAATTCTTTGTTAAATGATTCGTCACTTTTTGAATAAGATGCATATCATATATAAATTCATATTCTGTGTCATTCAAATTGGATTTTCTTCTTTTTATTCTGAGCAGCAGAAGTTATTAGCTGAAGAGCAAGAAAAAATTAGAAAAGCTGAAGAGCTACGATTAGAACAAGAAAAAGAAAGAGAGGAGAAAAGGAAGCAAGAAGAACTAAGGCGAAAGCAAGAAGAAGCAAGGCTTCTTGAGTTGCAAAAACAAGTGATTATAAATTTTAGTTATTTTTTCTTGAAGTAATCAATAAATATGCATATTAATTTCACAAGAACAATAACTATCTACATATTAAAAATGAAAAAAAGATTGTGAAATTTGCACACAATGTAATTGAATATTGTAAAATGCATATATAAGGGAGGTTTTTTAAAGTAAGGGCCATTTGAAAATAAAAACCAAACAAAAGAAAATTTTCAAAAACCAAATTTATGTTCAGATTCTACATACGTTTCTCTATTTTTCAATATAGTTGTCAAATTTGTTTAAGCACTTACCTTACCTTAGAACTAGATACTTTTAATACCCTCTTCATAGAAACTTGCCACCTGCTCCGATAACCAAGAGGTCACGTCCGTCTTTTAACGTCTTAGACTAGACACCTTAGGAAATTCACTTGAAAGAGTGCTTATGGTGAAGCATCTGTTCTCAAGAATATTTGCTTCAACTGAAGCCACTATATTATCTGTGATCACAGATGGGCGATTGGAATGGGACTTATCATGGATGTTGTCACTTCCAGCTTTGAAATCTCTCACCCACACTTATGGCTATAGCTCCATAAACTCTCAAATTTGCTAGTGAATCTCTGCAGTAGACAGGTTTCTTGCTGACAAAAAACGTATCATTGACCATACCTCACACAGTTTGGGTGATTCGATAAACTTGAGCATTTTAAAGACCCAGAACAGACCGCATAGGTTACCTACACAGCTGCAACTGAGGATGGTTGTTTCCAAGGAATACTGAGACATTGTCCAAGCACTCGTTGCCCCCAGCAGCGTGACATGTATTAGTGTATAGAACAAAACGGCCCTTACTTAAAAAAAAAAAAAAAAAAAAAAAGCTGTTTCCTGTGGCTCTGTTTGTTATGACTGAATATTTGAAGTAACTTTAGCCACATATTTTCCAAATATTTGCTTGGGTGTTGATAACCTAACATGTTATGAGTGCAAAAATATCTGTAGATACTATCATTTACTGCCGTAAATTAAACATAATTTTTTTATTAATAGTATCTCCTGAATAGACATCTGCAAGCACTTTCATACTTTATATATTGTCATTCATAATGGTGGGAAAATGAAAATAAAAAGTGAAAATGTGATAAAAGTTGATTGCATGAAATAAAAATTGTAGTGCATATTATATTATAATAATTTTGCAGTCATCGCTTAAGCTAACGTTATAGCCATCCTCTTACTATATACAGGGTGATTCTAAAATATTGGGTCATATAAAAAGTCTCAGCAGTTTTTTGCCACTAGGTGGTGTTAATGCCTATATATCCAGCAACACTCATCCGATTGTCTCAAACGAACATGTACTTAAAAGATGACATTCAGCTTCTATTGTTTGTGAAGATAGTTTTCTAATTCATTGTTTGTGTAAAAAGTTATAATGATTTGAAAATGAGTTAAATATCTAAAGAAATGCTATGTGATGCTTTTTTACTGTAAAAAAGGTTAAAAAGCTGCAAAAACGTGTTTAAAAGTTTAAAAAAATTGGGAAGTGTACAGTGAGAGTGCTATGATTGAACGAAGGACATGGGAGTGGTTTGTTCATTTCCGTTCCGGAAATTTCAGTGTCCAAGATACACCTCATTCTGGTCGGCCAGTCATTGAAAAAGTCGAAGTTTTGCAACTGGTGGAGCAAGACCCGGCACGCAAGCAGTCAAGAAGTACTGGAGTCATTAAGCGTCAACCATATGACAGTTTGGAAACATTTAAAAATAACAGGCTACAAAAAGAAGCTCGGTGTTTGGGTGCCACATGAATTAACGCAGAGAAATTTGAATGACTGAATTACATTGGTGAAATGCTGCTGTAACGCAACGAAATCGAACCACTTTCGAAGTGATACCAGAAATGGCTAACAGAAAGGTAGTTGTGTTCCATCTTGACAATGCACGGTCACGCACATCCTCGATGACTCGGAACAAATTGATGGAACTTGGTTGGGAAGTTTTGATGCATCCACATTATATAGCCCAGACCTTGCACCCTCTGACATCATTCAGCAAAACTCTCTTGATGGTGAAAAACTGGCCAACCATAGCGCTGCTGAAAATCACTCACAAGTTTTCTACAATAAACCACAGAAGTTCTACACCAATGGAATTATGAAGCTACCCAAAAAAAGGCAAAAGGTGATAGGTAATAATGGTCAATATATACTTGATTAAAATTAATTTTCATTGCAGAAAATATTTGATAAAAAATGTAGCAAAAAACCATGGAGACCTTTAATATGGCCCAATACGTGGTAAAATATAAAGTCAGATTTTGTAATAGAATGTGTGTGCACCAATGCCACATTTAAAGTGATGGAGAAAACTATTGAGATATATAGGTGAGAGTAATTAATCCACTGATATAAATCGTCATTTTCTTGAAATTTTAGCTGTATATGTATCTTTGCATACATGCAGGACTTGCCCACATCTATTTTATGTAGGGATGGAAATGGTTAGCTTCTCAAAATAGGGACAGAGAACAGTTCCTTAATTGATATCCACTGAATCACCAAACATTCAAGCTTATTAACCTGAAGCTTTATATGAGTGTATCATTCAGCATGCCAATACTGATATATCAGTTTTTTTATGTTGACTTTCTTAGAAGACAAACCAGAAAAATGATCTTGATCTGGTATTTGGTGCTAAGATAAAGATTACATTTTGGGAAAGAAGTCTACAGCTTCATGGATAAATTAGTTTTATAGAGGAGGCTGTGAGTACATCCTCAAGAAAATGTTCATCAACAGTAGTTTTTAATTTTGTAAAAGTAGTGGATGTTTATTTCAGAAGAAAGATTTCATTTTCTTCTATTCAGTACATAGTTTTATTACTCAAAAACCTAATTGTTTATGTTGGCCTATTGAAAATTGAGTTTGGGAAGTACTAGATTGCTGGTTTTGATGAGAAAGTTCTTGCTTCTTTTCAAATTGATGTCACAAGGCATAACATTTCTAGAATACAAATGAAAGTGGGTTGTATTAATGTAGAAAGTTCAGCAATGTTGACTGTTTTATTAGCATTTTACATCATTACATTGATTATTGAGAGGGTTTTTTTTTGTAGCATCTCGTGCACGAATCAAAATTGCTTTATACTTTTTAACCTATATACTAAGTGCATTTCGTGCGGAGAACGCAAAATCATTTATTTACATCATTGTTACCAGAATAGGTTTAGCCATAAAGAGTTTGCTGCAAGTTTACCTTGTCATGTCAGGGACCATAATATAGGTTAATGTATCCTATTCTTACTTTGTAATATTTTATTTTCATTCAAAATTTTAAGTAATATGTCATTTATGTGGTATGTATATGCTATTGTGTATGCTATTGAATTACTTCTCCCCAATCTAGAGGACACTTGTGTATTGCAATCTTAATTCAATCAACTATTACTAATAGCTGTTTTCTGCAATTACAGCTGCCTATTTGATTGACTAGTTGTTGCGTATTGATATCATGGGTATTATTTATTACATAAATACTTCTATATTCTAAAAATACAGTATATAGCATGCAAAATATATATCAATCAACTACGTATCACTGAACCTTCTGGTGAGCTTTCAATAATGAAGTTCTTGAACCTACTATATTATTACAATGAATTTTCTAATGAGCCAGATGTTGGCACATCTAACAATAACTCAATTCAAGAACTAATAACTAAAGTTCTATAATTCAAGAACTGACAAAAATTTGTTTTATCTAATTACAAAATACTTGTTTTGTACATAAATATGTTACCTATTATTGTTGTTATATTATTTTTGGCCTAGGGTCTAACATGTTTTCATTGCCTTCTAAATAGCAGTGACATTTTGTCCTGTTTTTAATTAATGTTATTTAAATCATGTACTTCAGTGTTTAGAAATGAAAGAGGTATTTTTGATGAATTAAATACCCCAGTATGCTGTGTACAAAATGTGCCTATGTGCAGCATTTCTCTAGTTTAATATTTTAAATACCTCTTATAGGAGGAAGAAAAGAGAAGGTTAGAAGAGCTACAAAGGCAGAAAGAAGAAGAACAACGAAGAGAGGAAGAATTGCGCAGGATTGAAGAACAGAAGCGCAAGGAGGAAGAACAGAGGAAACAAGAAGAGCTTCGTAAACTTGAAGAAATGAGGAGGTTGGAAGAACTAAAAAGAGAAGAAGAGAAAAAACGAATGGAAGAGCAACGAAAGCTGGAAGAACAGCGCAAGCAGGAGGAATTACGAAAACAGGAAGAGCTGCAAAAATTGGAGGAAAAGCGAAAGAAAGAAGAAGCACAGGTATTTAAAATCATATGCAGTATGGCATTGTATTTTTGTTTATTCAGAGTTCGTATGAATTAAACATTCAGAAAAATACATCTGTATAAACTAGAAAATAGAGTTAACATATGAAAAAGCAAACAGTATTTATCAGTAAATAATCAGAATGGCCAGATGTTGCCTAGAAACAAATTTGGTAAACAAATGTAGTTACTTTGTTTATTATGTAACACATGTTCAGAATATTTTCATGGGGGTGGCAGCAGTAATATTTAAAAAATTAGAATCCTTAAAAAATTAAAATATTAAGGGCAGTTTTGAAGAATACATATGCTGAATATTTTAGTAACCTAGGGGGTATTGCTTTAAGAAAATAAGGTTTAATACTTATTCTGAATTTTTATAAATTGTGAGCATCACGTAAAAATAATGTACAGCATATCAAGTAGAAACCAGATTAGTTTACAGAGTGATTCAAAAACAATGGTGCAGAATATTAACTTATTTGTTCTTGCATGAAATGACATTAGAATCATAATGTTGACATAAAATAAAAAAACAATTAACCACATTTATTACTCATCATTGGTTGCATTTGATATAGACCATAGTTGACACTATGGCAGACATCAGTAGCGTTCTGCTCATATATATCCCACAATATCATTAGAAGTCAAATCTGCTGCTTTAAGTTCATCTGGATTTTGTGGTGTTAGATGATAGATTCATTATGTCTTTCACATAACTACTGGAAAGAAATTGTGCTAGCAATCTTGGTGGCCCAAAACATCATGTGCCAATCATAATTTTTTTTTTGCATATCAGATCTGATGTAATGGCAAATTGACATTTAAATCATGCCAGACAATCATATATAAATAAGGGGGCAAGTCACCTTCTATCTGAAGAATTTATGCTAAGAAGTTTGTCCTCCATATTAGACATAAGCCACTCTGTTATAGAGTGTTGTCTATAACACTATGCTTAGATAGGAGACTAAAGGCTCGTTTCCATTACTGCGTACGAACGCGTTGCGTCAATTGAAGACACGCCTACGGCATCCGTACAAGCGTTTCCACTGCTGCGTATCCATAAAATATTTTCATTTCCGCCGCTAGGTGTCACTGTATATTTTGCGCCAACAGCATTGTGCGAGTTACGACGCTGTACATCTGATTTTTCCCGCTTTGTTTTGGATTTGATATAGGATCCTGACGTAAACGCAGAAAGGTTTTGTTTACTTAAATTTCATGTTATGGAAATTTTATTTTCTTATATTGCAAAAGTAAGTACGCTAGCAATTTTTTAATTAAGTAAGTTATAATGCATATGAACATCACTAATTCCATAGAAGCTTGAGTAAATTTTTAAAAAAAATTTTGTGTTTCTAGAAGCCTTAAATATTATGAAATAATATATATTATTAAAACTAAAATGTACTGTTAGTGAAAAAGTAAACAAATATAATAAAATAAAAAGTTAAGGGATTAAAAAATGTTGGTACTTTAAAGTACAGAGCCAACTGTAAAGAAAGGTTCACAAATTTATGCAAAATTTGCTATGCTTGTATACCGCTGACTTCAGGGTCATAGCTGGATAATTTATTAGAAATCTCGTTTGTTTTAAAATGCACTATGGGCAGTTATATTTATGCATATTCATAAAATATTATTTTTAATTTAAACATTTTTAATTCATATCTCTTTTTATAAAAGTTATAAAAAAGAAATTTTCTCTTATATATACACACATTAGGTAAAGAAATGGAAATTTAATTAATTAAATCCTTTGCTTCCTGCTGGAGAGACTCAATTTAAAAGCAATTATTATAGTAATTTTTTGTTAAAAAAATGTTTAGGGCATTAATACTGTCTCCTGTTAATTGGAATGAAAGTTTTAGAGTCGTAAACATCCCAAAGTCTGAGCAGATGTATATACATTCACGTTAAAAGTGACCGAAAATATATATATATATCTGCAGGGTTTCAAATAAATTAAATTTAAATAATTCTCTTGCGCCATTGCTGCAAGGAATGAAATTTGAATTTAACAAACATTTTCTATTCGTAAAAAGGCAATTAAAAGTTAATTAAATTTAAATAAATTTAATGCAAACAAATAAAGGATTAATTATTGCTGCGAACTAATATACATATCATTTAAATTCTGAGAGCATATGTAATCAAGTGCAAGTATCAAAATCCATGAATAAAATATAATTCCAAAAATTTATTTATCCTATTATTCCTTATGCCATTTTTATAAATTTTTAGGATGAAATCTATCCCTGTTATTCATTTATGCATTTTTATAATTTTTGTAGGATTAATATCTATCCCATTATTCACTTATGCATTTTATAATTAATACTTAATTTATTAATAATGAATAAATTTAATTAATAATTTTTTGGAATTATATATTTATTCATGGATTTGATACTTGCACTTGATTTACATATGCTCTCAGAATTTAAATGATATTGTAGATTAGTTCGCAGCAATAATTAATCATATCTTGTTTTGCATTAAATTTCATTTAAATTTAATTCACTTTAATTGCTTTTTAAACGATAGAGAATGTTTGTTAAATTCGAATATATATGTACAGGATATGCTTTAAATTAGTATTATATAATTTTCAACTTTTTTGCTGGAAAATTAAAATAAATAAGAGCATAATAAAACAATGTATTTAATGCATATAATAATAGAACTAAATTATAAAACACGATATAGATCAAATTGGAATAAAAGGTAAGAAGTTGCAGACAGGGTGAAAAACTATGGGATTCGAACTCACGACTCCAAAAAATGAACATCCTTACCATCAACTCTACCACTAAGCTAGGATTGCACATAAGTCGCATGCTATTTTGGCTTATACATTATCAACTAAATCAATTCTTAAAACTGAAGTTTTTGTGTACTATTTCAGTGTGCTATCGCTGAAAAATTTACCAGAGTTTTGTTCTTCAGCTTCTAGTACATTTTTTACAAAATCATTATCTTTTAATGGCGTTCGGATTGAAGTTAAATGGACTGCTAAAAATATTTCATGTGCTTACAAATATATGTTATCCAAAAAGAGATATTTATAAAGGGAAATACAAATTTAACATACTCTTCAATGAAGTGGAGTATTAAAAGGCTATCAAATTTAATTATAATTACGTTTTTAGTTTTCCTGTTCAAAAAAAAAAATAGCAAATCTTTTAATCCTATCTAATTTGCTATAGCAGTTTGATATAGACAGACATTCATTTTCATTAAATAATGAGTATGCAGAACTAAAAAAATGATTATCCAACAAATTTTGCTATTCATGGTTTTGGCAATTATAATTTTTGCCGCTGATTTTCTTGAACTGAATTCCTGAATGAGCAAGTACTGTAGTTGCAGTTACCTTGTTTTTCTTATCTTTTTTTCCTAAATTAAGCTGATTGCTGTTTTTCAGCACGCAGATTTTCACTATAATGTTAGTTCAAATAAGCATTTTTAGCAAAACATTCTTTCCCTATTAGCGAGCCATCATGCCTACTCTGCCCCATTAATTTTAGTCACTGCACCGATGCTCCTTTTTACCACGTGACCCAATGCAGCTGCAGACATACGGATAGAAGTTGAACATTGTTGAACTCTATCCATATGTCATCCGTCACCGCACACTGACCGGATTGCAGATGCCAATCAAAGTGAATTCGCTCGCTGATTGGAGAAACGCATACTCACCGCAACGCATACGCAGCAGTGGAAACGGGCCTTAATCTGGAGAAACAGTGAAGTGGTTCAGACTTCCAGAGGAGCCCTTTTGTATGATGTATTTCAATATGGCAATATCTTATCACTCGATCATTTATTGTTAACCGATATTTTTATTGAATTATAGTCTGAATTGATCAAATGTTTAAAAGTGATAAGCCATTGTTTTGAGGATCCATTCCTTAACCAGATGCTTTATTCTTCCATATTCTATATACAAACTCAATCAAACAGTAGTTGGGCAGCAAACTGGAAGAACTTATGAAAGAAAAGCATAACTTGAAATTTAAATTTAGGTCGAATTCAGTTCTGGATTGGTATTGGTTTTACAGAAAAACTATTTATTTCAAAAGAGACTAATGTAAGTAGCTCTTATTTATTTCTGTTTGAAGTAGAGGTATTTGTATCAGTTTCTTTCTGAGCATAGTTTTTCTCTGGAACCAAAATCAATATTATTGGGTTTTCCTAATCCGTATTAAATTTGTAGGTTATGTGAATGTCATGGATAATTTTTTCTTCTAATAAACTGCGTTTAGTGCTGCCTTCTTATATTTATTACATAAATACAAAAAGAAAAACTTTTGCTAAATTTAAATTGTTAATCAGATTTTGATTATATCATGGGACTCTTCAGGTCAGTACTTATTATATAGAATTATAGAATTTCAGAAAAAAAGGCGTATTGTTGTGTACTATATACGGGATATTTATTCTGCTGTTGTAAGGGTTATACTGCTTTTTTTTGATGGAATTGATAAGGTATTTTATGATGGCTTTACTAGCAGTTTACTAGATTTTTGTATTAATTTTTTTAGAAGAAAATCCAAATGGAAAAAGAGCGGGAGAAACAACTGGAGTTAGAACGGCAAAAAGAAGCTCTACGCATGAAAGAACTGGAAAGGGAGGAGAGATTGAAAAGAGAAAAAGAAAAGCAGGAAATGGAGATGAGGAAACTAGCTGAATTGAAAAAATCTCAAGTAAACATTCCTCCCTCTCATTTTTGTCATTTGCTAAACTTTTCTCAGTGTGCATTTTTATTTCATTAATACTGAATGCAAGTTAAAAAACAAAGTAAAATACAATTAAAAAAAGTTTTTATACTGTAAGCTTTTATTTAAAATGGATATGGTAATTAATGCACTGAAGGGAGAAAAGCAATTTATTTTAGCATTTAATGGGAGTAATAGATTAAATAATTCTGCTTATAAAATTCATTCAGTTTTATATTGGAAGTAATAAAAAATTAAAAATGATAATGATTTATACATTTGGCAAAGCAACTAAATTAATAGAAAATAAAGGTAATTTATTTAAAAGATTATTAAGATATTTTGTCAAATGATTTTTGGCATTTCAAAGAAAGACTTGTTTTATAACACTGTGTTGTGGAATTTGAAAAAAAAATAAGATGTCTGAAATGGAACTGTCACACTACCAGATTAGAACCATTATTTACTTCCAGTTGTGTTGCAAAAAGCTGCAGAATGTCGTCAAATCTACATGTACAGCTTTAGGTACTCAAGTTGTATCATATGACACTATATGAAGGTTTGGTACCGAAAGTTAAAAAACAAGGATTACGATACTCAAGAAGCAGAACGCTCTGGCCAACCTACTGATGTTGATGAAACCCACCTGCTAGAACTTGTGGGAAAAGATCAGTATGAAACTACTAGAGAACTTGCTCAGGAGTTAGACATTTCTGTCATGTCCTAATTAGTCATGTTCTGCATCGCATAAAGTTGACAGACAAGTTCAGTTGCTGATGCCGCATGAGCTGTCTCAAGCACACTGTAACAGATGTGTTCCGGACTGCACTAATCTGCTTGAATGTAAATGTAAGGATAAAATTCTGGACTGAATCGTAACTTGTGATGAAAAGTGGATTTACTTCAACAACACTGGCCGAAAAGGGGGGTTGTTGTGCACCAGGTGAGCCCGTCGGCTGCATCACAAAGTGCAGTTCGATTAACAAAAAGATATTGCTTTGTATCTGGTAAGATTGTGGTGGTATTATTCACAAAGTATATCTGGGAAAAAGTAAAACCCTCTACAGTAAGGTGCGCAGTGAGGTGCTGGTCCATGTTGACTCTGCTATCAAGGAAAAAGAGTTCCAGTGCAAAAAGGTAATGTTCGATCAAGATAACAAGAGACCACAAATGTCTGCATTCACTGGCAGGACTCTGTATGGACTCAAATGGGATCTTTTACCACACCCACCATATAGCCCCAACATCCGTCTTCAGACTTCTACCTTTTTTCATACCTGTAGTTGCATATTGCTGGTGTTGCCATTCTACACGGGGCGTCCGAAATGAGGTTGATCTGTTTTTGGACTCACTGCTACCAAGGTTCTTTGTTTCTTTCTGTCAATGTTTCTTCTTTCTTCTGGGCTTTGGAAATCTGCCAAAACATTGGCAGGAAATCATACATTCGATTAGTGATTACTACCCACACAAAAGTTACTGCTTTCATTTCCTCCCCAACTTAACATGCTTTGGTGGAAAACTTTCATTACAATCAGATATTTTTATTGTATTGTATTTTCTGCTTTTTAGTCTCAGTTATGCATTATCAATGATGAAATTTTCACTTATTAAAACACAAGCAGCAAGTTAAAAGAAAATTACAAAACAAAGCAAAAACTGAATGTCATTGACATAAACATTAAATAGTCCAAAAAATAGACTAATTTTCAAAGTTTGCCGAAAATTCAGAAGGTATAATTTTCATATGAGTTTCGTTAAAAATATTTTTGTCCACTTTATTAATTAAATGGTGCAGAGGTGAAATTCTGGTATGTTTAGATTGTTCAACAAAGTTATGTGTGAACAAATGTTTAAACATTAAATTTAAAAAACATAAATTTTGGAAAAAAAAATTCACCACATTGTCATTGGCCAACAGCGTATGTACAAATGAACTTGATAGCTATTCAGAATGTATGTTAAAAATCAGTGACAAAATTCTTACAGTGAAACATTGTGAGTTTCAACCAATTTTCTTAAAAATTGTGTTGTTCCCAGATGTGTATTTCCCATGTAGAGATTTTCACAATGAGGTAGAGAAATTTATGAAGGTAGTTTCAGTTTGGGGGAAAAGAGGATTCCAGAGTTTTATAAATACTGTGAATTCTCATTAATTTGAAATTCAGTCAACTCAAGTAAGTGCTGAAATCTTGAAAATTTTATTTATGTGACATGTTAATAAATTTAACTAGCACACTTGTGACAGAGTGGTAAAATTACTGAATGCTGCTTGTTTTGGGCTGGTTTAGTGAATAGGGGCTGGCTGCATAAGTTTCCTAATGTGTAATATGCATATATATAAGCCAATTTCCCTAATAAAGTCTTCTCATCTAAGACAGATAGCCTTCATATGCTTTGCTGTATTGTAAATATTCCAATCAGTTTCACTAATTCAATTTAATTTTACAATTTCTGATGATTCTTCAAATGAAAGCTGTATATATTACTTAGTTTAATTAATGACTGTATATTCAATTTTATCATTAACTAGCATCCACTGTAAGCCAGTGTGCGTGTCTACATTTTATATTATTTAATAATGATTTCAGCACATGTCCATGTATTTCTTAAGTAAGAGATAAGTTGTATTTGTTAAGAGATTTGTAAATCTTAAAGTATATTCCATATGTGAAATACGAAGACCTGATTTTTGGAGCAGAGGCTGTATTATATTTATTCGAAAAGGAAGGAAATAGTTTGTATTTCTGAGGTATGTGTAGGCCAACAGAAATATTGCACAATGAACTGAACATATGTATACATTCATGTCATCAAGCAAATTATTATGGTTGCTGCAATTTAAATGAATGTGAAATATGTTAATGTTCAAAATTTATGTATGTTTAGTCATTGTCTATATTATTAGTACGACTGCATTTTCTGTACAGGATGAATCTGAACAAAAGGGCAAAACTTTAGGGGGATAGAAGGCAATTATATTTGTCGCAGAAGGTGTGGTTGGAATGCAAGCAGTAAGAAGTTAAAGGGTAGTTTTCTAGTGTCACATTTAAAGAATTAACACAAGAGTGAGAGGAATTAGTTCAGGAAACATTTTATTAACAGAACATACTCATAGAAATTACTCAAACGACTTTCTGTCAGCTGTAACACAGGCTTCACACTTGCAGAATAGGGATTGATGCACATTGCAAAGACACCAGGCATCTGCTGAATATCACTAACAGCAATGATGATCCTGGCGGCTAGATCTACATCAGTTTCAGTGGGGTACTTGCAGATTAGGCTTTTCATATGGGCTCACAGGAAAAAGTCCAAACATGAGAGATCCAGTGATCTTAGTGGCCAAGCTGTAGGTCACCTCAACCAATCCATTGCGCTGGAAATTTCATGGTTCTTATAACCAGTAATCCTCTCAGCAATCCACGACAGAAAATGCCATTGGATTGTGAAGACTGACTCTTTTTATACCATTTATTTATAATGCCACCTACTAGCTCGCCATTTACATTCTGACATACATTCTATGATGAATATTGCTCGTGTATAACTCCCTTTTATCACCCCCTAAAGTTTTGCTCTCTTGTTCATATTCACCGTTTATAAGTAGTCTGTAAAAATACACTAATAATGTGCTTGAATAAAAATTTTTTAATTAATATAGAAAATTTATATATGTGCAGTCATAATGCATTTGACATTGGTAGATACATACATTGGTACTGACATAAGGCACCACTAACCAGCCATATACCAAAACAGTTCTTGGTGTGCTGAGTGTTATTACTTTTGATCACTTAATTTGTCACATACATTCTAAAGTGAATTATATGTTTTAATATAATTTATTAGGATTTTTAATTTTAAGTTATGCTTGTTATGTGAAGATAATGATAAGGTAGTTGCTAACCTAATTTATAGTTATAATTTATTACAAAATGTTGTACTGAAATAAAACATTTCTTTAAAGGGTCCTGTCTGGGGTATAAAAAATTCCCAAAATTCAGAGCTTTCTCTAGCAGATATTCAGCGACTTCAGGAGGAAAAGGAAAGGGAAGAAAGAGAAGAGGTTTGTTTGGCATTGTGTTTATCATCTTCTGTCATCATCTTTCTATTTTCATTTAGGAAAGCTGAAATTATTCTCTTATGACCAAAATAAAATTAATTTTCTTTTTGAATTTTACTGAGTGTCTAGTCTGTTAAGTGTTTTTAAAAATATAACTTGATTGCATTTAGATAAAAACTTTTTTATTTGCTTAAATGCTTGTATGCTTAAAAGTACATTATTATCCTAAAATCATTCATATTAAAACAGGTCATAAGAAAAAAATTCAGGTATAGGCACAGCTTGTTATTGATTAGGCAATTGATCATGTTGGTTTAAGAACAACATGTACACTCACCAGTACCTTTTTTTGGGGGAGGAGGGTCATCCATTTTGGGGCAGTGAGGTAACTTTTTTTTGAAGGGGGAGGCACATTATTCTAAATTAGGAATGATATGTTTCCATGCAACTTTTAATAGTCAGATCAAGTATTTGTATCAGTTGAAATTCAGAGTAATTTATATTGAAGTACTCTTGGATTTTAGTTTTTTAATATCATAGGTATACTTCTTCTGAGATCATTCTAACATATCTCAATTTAATTTGATAATTAATTAATATAAGCTGATAGCATAGTAAACCAGGGAGAAAGTGTACCCAGACCTAGCTTAGAAGCCATATGCAGTTAAATGCCCCAACATCTGGAGGTGATCCAAGGATGCCTTCCCTGATAAACCTGGGGGGACAGAAATGCAGTTCAACAAAGAGAACACTCAAGAGATCTGTATCCCAGTGCTGACCAGGGAGGAGCCAATCTCCTCAGACAACCTTCAAAATCTAACCATGTAGCGCCCACACAACCAAGGGGCAGACGAAACAGTACCAGTATGGACTTTGCCAAGCCTGAACCTACCACCAAGTAAATGATGGTTCTAAGCACTCTGAAGACTGTTAATTTTTCTCCAGAAGTCAAGTCTGTCTAGATTAATGACCTAGCCAGAACAGTGGGATTGCTTCCAGTTGACCCCTGGGGGGAAAGCTGATAGACATATAAATGAAATATTATCATTTAAGTATTTATCATCTGTGAGATATTTTCTCCCTCCTTTCTGCATGCCCTCGTTGTGTAATGGTAGCACACTTAGCGTGTATTACAGAGGTCCAAATTCGAGTTCCGGTTAGGGCATTACTAATTTTTCATGTCTTTTGCTTCAAAGTAATTTAATGACTCTAAAGTGGTGCCCAAACTGAAAAGTGATGGGTGATGATTCTTCACCGCCAGGATTTTTGTGATTGAGTCCCCTAATCCCCAATCACCTTTTAAAAGGGGGAGTATATAAGGTATTTTCTCCCTCATTTCTGCATGCCTTCGGGGTGTAACAGTAGCACATAGGCGTGTATTTGAGAGGTCCAATTTCTACTCCTGGCGAGAGCATTGCTTATTTTTCATATCTCCCACTTCAGTAAAACCCCAATGACTTTACACATTTGCACTTTGTACAATTTGCACTGCAGCATAGAAGGAGTGTCATCCTTAGCTGTATTGTTAAAAACAGCGCATTCTTGAGTTTTTCCAATATAACTGTGATGAATGTTTAATATCATTTATAAAATATTTATTTAATTAGTACTAATTATATGTGCAACATTATTTTATTTATTTGTTTTTTAACTAGCGATTACGCCAGCAAATGTTGCAACAGCAAGCTGTTAAACAGGTGCCACAAAGTAAAAATGCCTTGAGTTGGGCTAAAAGGTAATTGGCAGTTGGAGATTTATGATTCTAAATAATTATCTTAATTATTTGAAATACCACTAATAAATATTAGATCATTAAATTTTTAAATACTTTTTTAAAATACTGCAGGTCAAATGACTCTGTGCCTGCTGTGAAATCTCTGGCAGAGATACAGCAAGAAGAAGCACAAAGATTAGCTCAACTTCATCGCAGTCAGAAAATCCAGGCAGTATGCTTATGTCTTTTTACTTTCTGATATTTGAGTATTTCTATTTATTGTTAGATTCTTATTCTTAAGTTACCCGAAATTAAAGTACTTTCAGTGAAGTTTTTAAATTGACCAGCAATTTTGAATCTTTCTAGGAAAATAAAATTTTTTAGAACATCAGGAAATAATTATGATGTGTAAACTTCATAAAAACTTATAAAAGAGAAGCCTAAAACATTAAAAACAGCAGTGATAGAAATGATTCAAACGTATAAAAGTATCAATATATACCACTAATTTTACGTATGCAATTAATTACATTTAAAAATATATTGGTTTTGTATTATAGAATTTTTAATACTTTTGCGTTTGTGGATTTGGAGTGATTGAGGACAACACTTGTGAAAGAATCAAAGCACAATTTATTCGTCAGTATTACTGAGAATTCCATAGACATGTTTACAGTCATTGAAAAAACACTATAAACATGCTGAAATAATTAACAACAAACAATCAGGCTATAATGGTGAAGGCACCTTCACAACAAAGCACTAAAGTACAACTCCTGACTTAGTTGATTGTTCTCAGAGCTCAAGGCACTATTACGGAACGCAGCATACTCAAAAGTACTCTCCACGATAAACTCATGATGCACCCAGTGATGTACTGCTACTCCGTGTACAGGCAGGGTTTATATAGTTTTTTACCTGCCTTCGAGAACATTTTGGGGTAAGCCGGTAAGAATTCATTCTAGAATGTTCTCGCTCAATCTATGGCACATCGCCAATTATGTCACCAAAGGGTCATTTTTGCATCAAATCTGGCAACCCTAAACCTGCTCCTCAGGGAAGCTATTGTACTGCAGCTGAGCATTTCATAGAAAGTGTGGAATATAAACAAAACTCGGAGAGGTATCACCTGAAATCTCTGCCTCCCTTTGTCCCAGAAGTTTACAGATATAAAAGAATTCTACTATATTTGCATTTCAGATAAGATTATCAAGAATTAAGTTGATATATGTTAAATTTTATTTTTCAGCCTGCACCTGTTTTGAATGCCAATGTTGGTGTTTGGGGGAATGCTAGTCACCTGAATAAAATTACATCTATGTCACAAAGTTGGAACACAAGTAATGTTGCAGCAGCCGGTTTCTGGGATGATTCTTCTAATAGCTCACAATCTCGAAAACCAACTTCAAAAAATAAGTAAATATATTTTGTTTTTTACTGAGATAGTTTTGATTTGATAAAGTATTTTGAGAAATAACAGTTCATATTAAATACCATGAACCCTCTTTACGATGATAATTCATAGTTTTGAAATTTTTTTTTATGGAGGTGATCATGTGTTCGAAGATAACTCTTTGTGATGGCCGTTTTCGATTTGCATAAATACTGAAGCGAGACTGTGATATATCAGTTTATTAGTATTATTGTAATAATTACAAAGATAGCTAACAAATAATCTAGCCAAAAAATTAGAATAAATATATTTTATAATTATTTTCTGAATGATAATTAAAATAATTATCAGTGAATAATAATTAAAAGCTGAGAAATATATGTTATAAATGAAGGTAAATAAACAAAAAAATTACAAAGACAGTACATTATGAATTTTGGTTAGCAATTTCAGATATTCTATCTGCTTATTATAGATTCATTCAGTAAACTCTTCATGAAGTAATCTAAAAAGGTATTCATTTTTCTTTTGATGAAACTTTCTTTTTAAAGTACTTATAAATGTATAAAGTAAATCAAATCTTTCTTAAGTTATGTTTTAAGCTTTTACGTGTTAACTGAAGTCAAAGCATTTAAAAAAAAATCAACAATGGCAAAAACATTAAAAAATAAATATTGCTTTTTAAAGTATTCATTCTATGAGTTCTGTGTGGTTTTTTTTTTTTTGGGGGGGGGGGGGCTGTAATCAAATCTTTTCCTGTAAGGGTCTAACTCCATGAATAAGTGATCCATCTTATTACTGTCTATTATATATCATACTTTGCTGTCAACTTTTTTTTTTTTTTTTTTTTTGCATCAACCTGCTAATAGCATTTTTAATTATGTGTCTAAATTTAATGCTTATAAAATTAATGATTCAAAAAGAATTACTGCTCTTTTCCATTAAAAATTTTCCTCTTTTATTTTTGAGGTTTATAAAATACTTAAATTTAATGATAATTAGGAAATTCTAGTGTTCACTTTAATACTTATATTGTTGATTGAATAAATTAATTAAATTGATGGCAATCTTAAAAATTAATATGATAATAAATACCAATGTGCATCTTCTCAGAAATACTGATTACTTTCAGAAGTGGTTGCCATGTGAGAATTTGCTGTTATTTGGTGTGTTGATAAAATTTGGTACTGAAAATATTGTTATGTGTATTTTACAGTTAAATGTTTTAAGAATATTAATAAAATTAATTTTATGCATCGATTTGAAGCAGAGTTTCTTAGATAGCCTGAATGTATATTTAAGACTATTTTCCACATGTATGGTGTAGAATATTTTATTTTTCAGCTCAAAATAATAGTAAATTTCCAAATCTCAAACCTTATTCTTGTGAGTTAAAAGTAGGACATCTATAAAATTGTTAAATATCTAATTTGTTTTTCATTTTTATGTGTTTTCAATTGAAGGATTCTATAACTGTTAAGCACTATTTCTGCTTACATAGATATGAGAAAATGTTTTAATCTTTTCAGCATTATGGATGTAAAACTCTATATGGAAGGGTGGTTTTCACATTCATGCACATAAAAATTTTGCCAGCTTTTAATATATCCGATTTCGAGTTGGAAGAAGAGCAGGAATCAAGGTACAAAATGCGACGGGGTTTTTTCAATAAGAATTGTGAAAATACCATTTATTCAAGACGTTTTGAGGAACTCTGAAATTTCAGGACTAAACCCGTAATGCTCGAAGGATTAAACATAGCAGCACAAGTTATGACAGTGAATGAGGCTGCATAATATAAGTTTTGTTTTGTAGAATTTCTTTTTAAGGCCTTTTTTTAGTGCATTTCTGTATTTTATGTGTACTTCAAGGCTAGATTTAAGGAATTGAAAACTTTGTTTCTAAATATTTTTTTAATGTTTTATTTATTTTATTCTAGAATATGTTGTAATTTAATTTTTCATTCTTTAATTTATTTTACCTTTAGTGACAGTGCCTTCCCAGCGTTAGCCAATCCTGTACAACCTGCCACCGTAAATAGCAATAAAAGCAAAAACGTCCGAGCCAAGAAAGAAGAGGCTAGTATTTTTAATAAAATGTAGTTTAATCAAATTCATTTACTATACCAAATGATTCCTCTTTAATGTTTGCTAATTTCTTAAAGGATGTCGTGACAAGATTGTTTGGAACTCACCGAAAGCCCACCGATGAATTTACGATTTGGTGCACCGAAGCTATCTCGTCTATGCCTTCTTCTGTGGATGGTCAGTGTGCTTAAATTGCATTTATTGTTATTTCATATTTGTTTATAATAGTGTGAATTTATATGTCATTCAAATTTATTTTTCAGTTCCCACTTTTGTTGCATTTTTAAAAGACATAGAATCTCCGTATGAGGTATGTGTTTGTAACTGTTACATATAATTTTTGACTTGCTTAAAAGACAATCTCTACAAGATAGTTTTATCTATTTTGATATTCTCACTAACAATAATTATTTATCCATTTGATATTCTCTATCAGCTGTTTGAGATATCCTTTCCTCACAGATTTGTTATGAAATTTTGAATTCAGATATTTTATATAATAATATGAGTATTTTATTCACTTCTGCTAATTATGCAATGCATGTTGAGTTTTATACCAGCATTTAGTATTATATCTCGTACATTTTTAGCAAAGTTAGAATGAAAATTAAACACAAAAAATTCATAAAAAATGCATTTGTATACAGTTATTGATCACTTTCCTTGGGAAAACCAATGTTTCCTAGCTAAGAAATGCTTATTTAATACCATGCTATAAAGAATCTTTCATTTCTGATATTACAATCTAAGTGCTTTTAAATCTCTTTCCCCCCCTTCCTGTCTTATACATTATGTGTGTTGCAACCCCCTGCTTGTTTTTGCCAGGAGCATGAATCATTTCCATACAAAAAGTATTTTGCAGATACATCCTAGTGTTAAATATATGAGAATACTGGTTAGTTTGGTTACATAAACAATTTTTATGGGGTTTTGCCATATGTGATATGAATACGATCCAGTTTACTGTAAAAGTTCTGCACAAAGACATCTCTCCATTGGCAAAAACCTTCATGTGCTTTTGGCTGGCCAATCAATCACCATACTTGCCTGCTACCTGCAGTAAATGCAAATAAGATAAAAAAATGGATTTGCAATTCAAATATCTTCTATAGTAATGTTACCATAATTATAAGATGAGCTAAAATAGAGGGGAGAAAAAGATCATGGAATACACATTTTAAAATAAAAATATCGTAAAAAGATTCATTTTAAGTTATTTTATTAAACATTGATTGAAATTTATATAGTTCATCAGTATATATGAATAATTCTAATTTTATATCAAAATGTTGATCATTAATTAGTTTCTTTTCAGAATTTTTTCTTTAAACTTTATTTCCTTGTAAATATTTCTATGAATCTTTTATTGAATTCATTTTTATTACAGTTGGTGATATAGTGATATTTTTATGCTAGGTGAAAATTTAATTAGAAATAAACAAGTATCAAAATGCATCAGTAGACTGAAATAACTCTTAATTTTGCTTTTTATATCAACTTATAAATATTTAGTGTTCTGATATAGTTACCATCAAATATAGTGCTTCACTGGTCATCACAATTAAAGACTAATGACAGAAATAAAACAGAACTGATACTTATTGAAAAATTATTAGTAGAAATTTGTACAAAAGTATTAGTTAACATAAATTACAATGTTTGGCAGTTGATTATTCTCAATATATTGAAATTAAAACCAAATTTGTAGAAAAATTAAGTCACCTCTTGTGGAAAAAATATTTCTTTGATCCTCAGACAGATACGCATACTTCGCATCTTGATTTCATAGACTTTACCAAAGTTTTTTGAAGAAGGCTTCTGCAGTTGCAAACTTTGATTCTAAAAGTACATTTTTGAACTCCTGGAGTGTCCAGGGAGGAATTTGGTGCCGTAATGCTCAAGTCAGGTGCGTAGTGTGGCCAATTGATTCGAGTGATAACTTCTGTTTGCAAGTATTCTGACACCATATATGCTTGATGAAGCCAAGCATTGTCATTTGTTATCAAAAACTCAGAGTCAATAGTATGCCTAAACAATCTAACTTGGGGTTCTAGTACCTCATCCACATATCTTTGAATGTTTACAGAACATCCTTGAAAGATGTGCAGTTTGCTTCATCCATTTGATATGATTCCTCCCAAAACCATTAAACCATGGTTGCAGAAACGGGATATTTCACGGACAAGGGAAGGCAAGTTGAGTCCTCTAAATCAAAACACGTTTATAATCACTGTTCAGGCTTGTCAGTAAACAATACTTGGGCCGGTCATCTTTGCTCCATTGATCATGACAATGGCACCAGTTTAAATGGGCCCCTGTGGAAGCTGGAGTGAGCAGTACATAAACCATTGGTTTTTCTCGCATACAGTCCAACCTCGCTAAGCCTTCGTGCAGTAGTAATTTGAGTTCCTGTGGCAGATTTAATGTCTAAAACCAAATCTGATAGTCACTTCACAGTTTCTTCAAGCTGACAATGACAGAAAATAGTCTTCTGATGCAGTTGTTGCTCTTGGTCACTCTTGACCAAGCTATCTATCAACTGATCCAGTACTTATAAAGTGACTGCAGACTCTTGATATGATACTTAGAGAGATGTTGAAATCTTAGGCAGCCACCATCTGTATTTGACCTCCCTTAGTTCTACCAATTAATTATTCACCACTTTTGAGCTGCATTTAAAATTTGACTGTGGTCTTTGAGCCATAACTATTAAATACTGATAACTCTCAGAGACCACATTCACTTTAAGTAGTACTACAGATTCTAATTACAACATGTGTCTATTGTGCACCACAGCATCAATCACCAAATTTGCTTATATGTGGTGTGAACATACTGGAATACTGGAAGTGCAATTTTGTGTTCAATTGTATTAATCACATCATTGGGCATTGGTTGCAACATTAACTTAGTGAGCTTATTTATTCTCACTGTCCTTTAAATTTAATGACCAGTGTACAATAAAAATAGGCAATGAATTTATATCTCATATTAAGTGCAGGCAAAGATAGGTTTTAACAAACCAAGTAAGTTTTGATTTTTAATTGTATAGAATCTTTAATTAAGGTACATTTTCTCTTGACATAACTACCAAAAGTAGGAAATCTAAATTTGTTATTACTTTTTGTATGTCTGTCACCGTTTTCTTCTGATTTCTTTAGTGGGAAATGAAAATCATCATTATCTATGAATTCTTAATGCATGATGAATAACACCAACTAAAAGATAAATCCAGCTGTCAATGATTAGTTGTTAAACATACTGTATGTTTAAGAGTACGAGTGGGAGATGTTCTGAAGTGAAATGAAATTAATGTGTATTTTTCCAGGAGAAAAGGGGAGGGGAATGAAATATTTGTCCAACTGGGGTTGAATTCTTGGCCATATTTGCCAATGAGTAATTTCAAAGATCATGTATTAAAAAATTTAATAATTCTGAATTCTGAAGATCATACTGATTTTACTGATTATAATGCCCTTTGATCTGAATCGGTTATAAAATAGTTGTGAAGGTATTGATAGAGACTCATTTTGACTAAGGAAAAAATTTAAAACTCCTCAGCAATAAATTAGGCTATTTCTTAAGAATTCTATTAATTTAATAAAATCTGTTTACAAATAGTCATAGATAGGTATTTCATTTGTGATAGAACCAGGGCTGTGGAGTCGGGCAGATTTTGGGGTAAAAGGAGTCAGAGCTGGAGTTGCTAAAAACAGTGCGACTCTGACTCCAGTTTTTGTTGGACAGTTTGAATTTGAAAGGAAATTTAAATTAATTGAAAAAAATTAATGATAACCCGAGTTATTATTTTTATTTATGGACTATATACATTAATAAATAGTTTTCTATTTTATTGACATATTAATAAATAAATATAAGGGAGGAGGATGGGTGTGATATTTGCCATTAGTGATTAATTCATTTAGTTATAAATCTCTCTGGTAAATTTAGGTAAGCAGCAAGTACTCCCAAAATTGATGCCATTCTTAGAAAGCGAGCAGGAAAAGGAGCACTTACTGATCAAGCAACATGATAAGAAAAGTACATATTTGATTATAAAGGGGTTATTAGAATTAGTGATCTAAGATAACCATTAAGTTCTTAATTCTAACAACTAACTTATTCATGTAGATAACCCTAATGTTTCACTAGCAGAAAGACTGTGGAATACTCTTGCAGAATTGGAAACTCTTCTTTCTACACCATATATAGCCACAAAAATGGCTGCATTCTGAAGAATTGACAGGAGGCGAGAATGGAAGAATGTGAAGTTTGTTCTTTCTGAAATGGAGAGTTTATTGCAGAAGGAATCATTTCTTCAATGAAGAAAAGAGAAACTAGTTTGCTAGACAATGAGATCTTGCTGGGGTCAATATATGTAGATCCGAAACACCGAATTTTCTTGGATGACGAAGAAATTAAAAAGGCAAAGAAAGCCATCTGTGAACTTTCATTAAGAATGAAATTATTCTCAGAACAATTGGAGAATTCAAATCAGGATAGTCAAACTTCAGACTAATTAAATCTCTATCATCCTCTATCAGTAATGAATTAGATTTTGAGAAATATTTTTGGATAATATTGAAAAGGCTAAGGCAAAGAGAATGAAAATAAAGAACCAAGAGCCTTTCGATATAAAATTGAAAAAATACAAACAAGATTTCTACATGGCCTTTGAAGAAATAGAGAAATATGATTGTGCTTGCAAGACACCTCTTTTAGAACTTATAAAAATCTATCCTGAAAAGTTAAAAGAAGTAGCCCTGACAGCTCTTCCTCCTACTCAAGTTAGTGTGGAAAGACTCTTCTCAGCTCTGAAGTTTATCAAATCGGATCTATGGCCCTCCAACAAAGAAGATCTTGCCGAAGCTATACTGTTTCTTAGAAATAACTAATGCCAGTTTTTCCATTTCATAATAAATACTAATTGATATAAATAATTTGCTATGCCATCATTTTTTCCTGTAGCATCTATTACTTCTTTTATACTAAAAAAATAAGCCGTAACCCATGTGTATATGTTGATATATATATATGTATATATGTGAAGGAGTCGAGTCAGAATCTTTAAAATTCCAGTAGGAGTAGGAGTCAGTCATTTTTCCTACCGACTCCGCAGCCCTGGTTAGAATATATGTATCAGTGCATGAAATATGTTAAATATCTATGTAAATTGAAAAAATTATGTAGCTAAAAATGTATAAGCTTTTAACATAGATGACTATAAAGTCATGAATCATGTTATTTCTTTTTCATATATGTGGGATGCATTTTAATTTAGTACTTTTCATTGAGTTTATCTATGATAGTTTAAAAAAAAAAGTAATAGAGTAAAATAAAACCAAGTATACATTTAGTTTCCCCCTAGTACTTGCTTAAGTTAGTATGAAGTATTTTTTCTGAGTGTTCAAACTGCTATAGAGTCAGGATAATTTATATGCATGCTATAGAGAAAGTAACATTAACTTAATCATAGTTGTAAAGAAAGTAACATTACTTTTATTTTATGAGGCTAAACTCATGCTAGTCTCAATTTATAACTGATATAAGATATTATTTACATTTTTTCCTTTTATATATTTTTAGTAGGTATTAGGTTTTATTTCTTTATGTAATTTCCCTTCTCTGAATCGATTATATTAAGAAAAGAGTATTGGAATTTGTTAAGAGTATTTTTAGATTAAATATAAATAAAAATGAATATGCAACTTGTTATGCTGTACTTTTAAGCAACCATATTCTCATGTGTGTAAACTGCAGTCTTTTAAGTTTTACCTCTAATTAAAAAAAGTAAATAAAGTGAGAGTAAGCCATGAATAACCTGACTACCATCAACAATGATTTTTTCATTTGGAGATTTGAAAGCAGCTGAAATGAAACAGTACTTAACACATGCTGAGACAAAATTTTTCTTATCCGTCAAAACAGCATATTTCTGTGTTTACCACCTCTTATTCACTGTGAGCACCACTAGAGTAGTTGCCTGCACATCAGTATCGCTATCACTGGTATCCCACAGCATGTCATAAAGACCTGCAACCGAAACTAAATTTGTACAGTCTTATGTAACATTCTCCAACAGTTCAGTCATTAAATGCTTGCTACTGTGTTGCTGGATGTTTCTCTATATACCTGTTTCTAATCATTCACATCTATAAACCACACTCGTAATTTTTAATTGCCTTTGAAAAGTGTGCGTTATGCCTGAGAGAATAGGATAATTTTAATTTATTAAAACTAAGCAAATTACCCTTGGTTCATTGAGGTGAGTGGATTTTTAAAATTTAAAAAATTTTTTGTATGGGATTTTAACCCATTCTGTGTACATAAAAAGTGTGAATATATAGTAAGCATTTTAACTCTTTTACGGTTAGGGAAATTAGCAGTTTTGGTTTACTTAATTTGCACAGTATTATAAGTAAACAGTAGTCGAAAGTGGCAGCTGTTTTCCCCGCCGTTCTTCCGAAAATATCCCCCTTCTCTGGCGATGCCGTAGATAGCTCGCTTCACGCATTTTAAAAATTTCTTAAAGTATTTGTAGTACATAAATAACAGTTTTTATGTACTTTAAAATAATTAATAAATGATAATTATTAAATAAATTATAAATGATTATAATCAATTATATAAATCATAATAGTTAATTATAAATATAAGACAAATATTAAATTGAAAAGACTAAATAAATACAACTAATGTAAAACTCTATGAAGCATTTAAATACAGTAATTACCTAAAAATCTTTTTGTGTGTGATATACTTTAGAACTAAATCATAAACTAAACTAACCAGTAAAACTAAATCAGCTAGGAGCGTGAGAACTTGAATCAATTTTACACCACTGTCGAACTCTCGAAAAATCTTCATCGCTTGAATTGTCTTCTGAGCTTGATATACTGTGAACAAAGTATTCATCAGACTCAAAACTTGATAAGCTTTCTTTATCAAATCATAATCACCCTCATAATTATCTAACTTTCACTTTTGAGCCATTTTTTTACACTTTAACAACCCCTAAAAAAAAAAAAAAAAAAAAACACGCCCAAATACACCATAAAAAAAAAGAAAAGGTAAAAAAAAAAAAAAAAAAAAAAAAAAAAAAAAAAAAACACAAAAAAAAAAATTTTTCATTATGAAAAGAAATTCGTGAAACCCGTATTGTCATCTGTAGACAGTAAAACTAACTAAATTTCGCAAGTAGGATTCCTTTGTAACATAATCAATGCAGAATAATAAAGGCAAACGAGCTCAGCTTATCGTCGCGCATTGGGGGAAAAATTTCACTATGCATGTAGTGCTCGTTTCTAACCGTTTGGGCCGAAATCTTGCTCCCGAGCGGAACTCATTTGTGTGCATTATGAAGCACAATTCTATTGAGAGCTGAACTCGTTCATAACCATCAAAGGATTAAAGATGTTGAGTAATTATCCCTTCAAAAATTAGGTGTTCCTTTTGATATTTATTATTTTGTATATAATTTGAAAAAATGCTTTTTTGTGTAAATGCAATTTATACAGTCAAGTGAGTTATTTATACAGTCGGGTAAATTATTTATGGTTTCTTTTGCTTTTATTCATTTATTTTAATTCTGAAACTACAGATTTAATTTAGATTTCCATTTGGCCAAAATTATTAAATATTCAGTTAATGCCTTTTGATATTTAGTAGCTCTTTTCATCAATACTTTTAATTTTAACCTCTCAAAAAGTAAATTTTGGTAATGATGTAGTATGCAATCTTTTGCTTTTAGTTATTGATTTTTTAAATGGTGCCATTAAAATTCATTGTTGATTTAATCATTTCTTTTTCTTGCCATTTTGTTGTGCATTTTAACATGAAAGCTGTTAATTTTTTTAATGAAGTTACTGAAATTAAAATTTAATGGATTAATAAATTAAGTAGCAATGATTAAAATGGCCTTCTTGTAAGGGGTTGGGGCAATTAAGGTATGATCATCAAACCTTAAATCATCTAAAGAACTTTGTGAATCTTGCACATAGTACTAATACTTAAACACTTGAATCATGTTGAGGAATTTCAAAACTAATTACACAACATATGGGGAAACACACCGCAGATGCTAGAAGCATGGTGGAAAACTGTTAATAAAAGTGGTTACTTTTTAACAATGCATGGCATTCATAATGTATATGGTTGAACAACTTGCATAACAGTGCTCTTAAGGACCACTATTTGCTGTTATTTTTAATTTAATAAGTTATTGAATAAATAAAATGTTTTTTACATGTATTCTTAATTATTTGTATTTATTTTCATATTTAAAAATAGTGTTTAAGTAGTGCCATCTAATAAAAAGTAGTTGACTAAAACAGTAGATTGCATACTACATCAATGCCTAAATTTTTTTAGGGGGGGAGGGGGTAGATGAAATTTAGAAATGAATGATAGCTGTTCTTTTGCTAGATTATTGTGTATTAGAGAAAATAAGTTTCAGTTTCATGAAACTGTTGGGTCATCTGGAAAGTTCTGCAGTTTTTCAAATCAAAGTGTATTTTGTTACTGTTTGTCCCTTGACAAGGAGACTGCTCATGCTTCTTAATTCTTGCATATATTGCTGTATTTTTTTTTTTTTTTTTTCTTCCCCTGCAGAGTAGTGTTAAGAATGAAGAACCCAGAGGTTCATTTTCATCATCTTATGCTCTTTTATTTAAAAAAAGAGCCAATCAGACTACTTGTAAAATTTATGCTGCATATGGACTGATGACACAGTTTGAAGGAGTTCACCATTAAATTCACCATTAAAATACAACACCTACATTCAGTGATAACAATATGACTTGCCCCCAAACCGCAAAGAATTTTGTTTTAATTTAAGAAAATTAGTTTTTAGAAAGAAGGATTAAGTATAAATTCAGTAATAAATTTTAAATCACTGAACCTATATTTTTTGGAAAATTTACATAGTTCCTGATGGTTTCTAAATTATTTGAACTCATTATTCTGTATTTATGCATATTGATCTAAAACAGGAGTTTCTAACTTATTTTCTTGATCATCATTCCAATGTGGCCCTGTTATTTTTATACCTTGACTCATTTTCGACTTTAAACAATCCTTAATTGTTTGGATACATTTAGGATGCATATGCATTAACTGCTAATAAGTGTTAGTAAAAATATTTTTGGGCATATTTATACAGCTTGGTTGGTTGAAGAATTCAGGTGGTATGTTTTTTAATGCATATTCTTCTAGTATTTGCAAAATACTGAAAATAATATTTTTTCTATAATTCATTCTAATTTGATTGCTTACACTTTCAGGTATATGATTATGTTAAATCATATTTTGGCGAAGGAAAAGAACCTCGGGAATTTGCAAAACAGTTTTTAGAGAGGAGAAGCAAGTACCGTAATCAGGCTAAACAAGCTCCTGCAGAGGTTAGTATGTCATTGAACACTGTTGTTACAATTGTGTATAGCAGTGAATGATTAATATATCACTTTTTTAATTCAAACTTTTTATTATATTATTCTCCTTCAATACTTTTCAAGGTGTAATTTTAGAACTAGCAAATAAATTTTGTATTTATGTTGTAATTAAATACATAGTAAAAGCAATACATTTTTTTTTTCAGTATCTAGTATAAAATTAGCAGAAAAATGTATTTTGTAAAATATATGTTTTCAGCTGCTAGCTTTTTTGTAATGCAAGTTTGAAATTACTTTACGTAGTACAGTAATGCAGTTTTATGGTAGGGAAATAATAGTACAGAAGGCTGAATACATGGAAATATATACATCAAATATTACTGTATATGTAATTTATAAGATATGTTCAATAATCATATAGTATGCAGTTTACTACTTTTCGTTATTTATTTTTTAGATGGCAGGACTCAAATTGACTGTTATTTAAGTTCCTTTTCTGGTCATTTAATGAGAGAATTTAAAAATAGCAATTTAGTAGTTTCTTCTTAGAAATAACTAATTAAAAGTTGTGAGTTGCATATTACATGATTGCGTAATATTTTTCATGTAAGCATTTATACAATTAATTCATATTTCTACTGTAATATTATATAAAATAATCATTTATACAGATTTTGGAAAATGCAATTATAAACTCTTAAAATATTTTCTCTTTCTTAGCATTCTGATTTTCTGTTTAAAATAATGCTTATTGCTGTTATGGAAGTTAGCTGAGTATGAGATGTGGAATTCATGTTAATTGTACTTTCAAAGAGATTTTGACTTGCGTGAGAAATTACATTATCAGGTGTGTCATTATTAAATTGGTAGCTAAAAAATGATTGACAAGCAAAATAAAGAAAACGGTCGCCAGTGGCCGAGTGGTTAGGACCATTGAATACTGTTAGTTCGACCAGGTGAAAGTTGGTTTCAGTGGTTTTCCTCATGTGTAGAGAAAGAGAAATAGAAAACCTTCTATGAAGGAATCGATCCCCATAGGTCGATAACCCTCATGTGTTTTGAACATGGAAAAACAAATTCAGTAAAGGATGAAGAGAATCGAATTTTGTGAAAATGCAAGCACTTTGAAGGAGACAAGTAAGTCAATATCTCTGCTATAGAGTTGCCAACTCTCCCGATTTTCGACCGCTCTCCCGCCAACCCGATTTACAATATATTTCTCCCGACTTTTTCTTATTCTTAAAATTTCTCACAATTTTTATGGAACTTGGCTTAATACTTTAGTTATATGAAGGGGGGAAAAAAGTGATTTTGGACGTCTGAAAGCAATTGAATTTTATCTAGATTATATCTAAAACAAAACCTTGCAAATCAGATGAGAATTTCTGCTTTGTGAGTGAGAGCATACGTATCCAGAAACGTCATTCTCCAGTTCTCCAATGGGCATGGAACTCCACTGCTTGTCATTTGGCATATATCAGCCAATGAGCGCAAAGCAAGCTCAAGGCTGTTATTTGTATGTTCTTTAGTTATTTTGTTCATCTTGTCCTGAGTTGTGTGAGTACACGTGGCTTTGGGAAAATAGTTTTAGAAATTATCATCTTTTGTTATGTCTGCGAGAAAGGTGAAATACTCATGTTCGTTTCAAAAATCATACACAGTTGACTTTCCTTCCATTATTTCCTCAAGGAAATCTAATAAATTTGCGATGTGTACCATTTGTTGTTGCGATTTTTCGATTTCTCATGGTGGAATGGCGGATGTTCTCAAACATGTGCATACACAAAAACACAAGGACAACATGAGTTGTTTTGAAAAAAATGAAAAATTAAATTTTTCTTCAGAAACCAAGGACAAAAAAGTTATTAATGCAGAATGTCTGTTCTCTGCCTTTTTACTGGAGCACAACCTGTCTTTGAATGCATTGGATCACGCTGCAGCTTTATTTAGAAAAATGTTTCCTGATAGTGAAATCGCTAAGAAATACTCAAGTGCAAGAAACCAAAACAGGTGCAATTGTTAAAGAAATGGGTTTGAAAAATAAATCTTCAGTTATTGATTGCATTAAAACAGCTCTGTTCTGCCTCTTTACGGATGGAAGCAATAATACTGATTCAAAATTGTATCCAATTGTTGTTTCTTTTTTTAAACCAGAGTCTTCAGAAATTCAGTGAAGTTTACTTTCTGTCCCCACTTTAGAAGGACATTCGACAGGCTTTAATATAAAACAGCTGATTATTAAAACTTTAAAAGAAAATGCAGTCAGTTTGGATAGTTTGCTTAGCACTTGGTGCCGATAATGCACCAGTAACGATAGACTTAAGACTGTTGTTGCAGCCATCTTAAGAAAGGAAAATTCAGATTTGCAGATTATGAGGTGCACCTGTCACCTCTTAAATTTAGCAGCTGAAAAAGGGGCAGCTTCTTTACCAATAAATGTAGATGAAAACATTGTTGATATTTATTATTATCTTGAAAGGAGTTCTAAAAGGAAGGAAAAATTGACAGTTCCAAAAGCTGCATAAGTAATATTAGTAATGATGCATTAGAAAAACTTTTATTAGGGAAAGGAGGCAACGTGGCAATTGCTATGAACAAAATTATGAAGTTTATTACTTAACGAAAGCAAAATCTGCCACTGCTCATAACATTTGTACGAAAACTGATTAAAGTGTCTTCTCCCCCCATTAAACGATGCAAGTAATAAAAAATTTTTTATGTGTAAGGAATTTTTTTGTTGCTTGCATTTAAGAATTAGTAACTATTTAAAGTTAATTCATTATTAAAAACTATATTTTTATCATTTAAAAATGTCTTTTTAACATTGGGAAAAATCTCCTGATTTTTGAGTGTCATAGGTTGGCAAGTATGATATTATAGTCAAGACGGGATTGATCTCTTAAAATCATTTAAAAACTGTTTTCCAAAATGTGGCTTATACATAAAAGAAGCCTCAGAGGAACTGCAAACTATACCTAATATTTCAGATACCAGTGAGGGAAGTTATGAGGATTCATTTTTAGATTATTTTTCAACTCATAACAAGATGCAATCAAATCTAGAAAAGCATTGCAAATTCTAATAAAAGTTCTTGAATAAAAGGTGCTAATCTAAAAACCTCTCAGCTGTTCTACAAACTTTAGAATGCAATTAAAAAACAAGCATAGGTAGAATAGTTGTTTGTAAGAGAGAAAAATTTTCGTCAAGACCGTAAGTATAAAAATATTTTTATAAAAACCTAAAAAATGGACCTCAGAATTCCATTAATAGTTTTAATATTAATTTTTACTTCTTTGTACAAAGTAAAAGAAGTATTGTGATCACGAAAAGTTTCTGGTATCTGGAAATATTTATAAATATTTATTTTGACTATACCTGAATATATTCATTTCCCCCCCCCCTTTCTCTCTCTCTCTCTCTCTCTTTTTTTTTTTTTTTTTTTTTTTTTTTTTTTTCCATGACGTTTGTATGTACAGACAGAATAAAGGAATCTTTTTTGTATGTACTGACATAATAAAGAAATCTTTTTTTCAAAATAGATTGTAAATGTATTCAAAGGGGGTTTTTCCATGGCATACATGCCTATGTGTTTATCTCGCATCACTCAAAAACAGTTAGTCATAGAACATTGAAATTGTGCATATGGGACTGCTGTAATGTCAAATTATGTATTTTCCTTTCCTGCTGCAATCGGCAGTAACAAACCTATATACCGTGTGATTCAGAATTCAACATCAATATTTGTGTGGAGGTAGGAAATAGGAAAAGGAGATTTCACATAGGAAAATATGGGCGCAGATAAACGCATGATGGTGTAGAGGGTGCTGTGTGTACACAACTTCCATACATAAGCACAGCTGTTTGATGTGCGCAGCCAGTCGTCATTCAACTAGGTGACTGTAGAAGTAACATGAACCGGTATACATGGAATGAACTTGCAGATATGCATGTAAATGCCAGACATATTCCAGAAGGTTCGGTTGTCCATGCAACTCTGTTGTGAGTCATACATGGTCAGCAGTTCGAGCACTTCTTGTAAGTCTGTAAAACTGATGCAAAGAAATGTTACATGTAAGATAATAAATGTTTTTTTTCCCTTACTACTTCCTTTTTATGTGTTCTTTCCATCATTGAACTGGGGTCATTTTACCTAACTACATGGCATATGCACCCATGCATTCGTATGTGAAATCTCCTTCTTTTCTTATTTCCTACCTCTCCACCAAATATTGATGATGAATTCTGAATCACTCTCTCTCTCTATATATATATATGTACCTTCTTACATGGCTTAATTTTCGCGATCATTGGACATAGTCATATCCTTCCAATTACAGAGGCTCACAGCGGCCGAGCGGTAAAAGTCACTGAAAACTGGTAGTACAGTCCGTGGTTCGAATCCCTCAAATGGGCTGGCTGCATGGATGTCTTCGTGATTTCTCCCATGTGTACGAGCCAGTTCTCCTTAGAAAGTTCTCCACAGAGGTATCCCTCACCTTAGGCAGATAGCCCTCAAAGGCTTCGCCATAATCAAATGAAGCAAATTAATTAACTGTAATTAGGTGTGCTTAAATGATGAAAATATTAAATTTTGCAATGTCAAATTAAAAACATTTTTTTTATTAATAATGAAATCTAATTTTTAATGCAATCTCTCGGTTCCTATACTTATTAAATTTGGGAAAGTTTTGTACCCGTTGATGAAAAAAATTAATTTATAACAAGTTTGACTGCAGTACGACGAAAATTGACCAGAACATTGAATTTAAAAATTTGCAGTTTTTTATGTTATTTTCAACTTGTTTTGAGGAATCGCTTAATTAAGTTAGAATAATTTGAGCAAATAAGTTAAAATGAAGTGCAACAAAATATGTTTGTAATTTAAATAGGTTGTACAGGTAAGTCAATGTGGTGTCCACATCATTTTTTGTTTCCTTTAGTGTATTTAGTTGTCTATCTTTTTACAGCTTGATCATTTCTAGTGATGACTAAATTATCATGTCCATTATCTTTTTCAGGACAATATGCTGTGGGGTCCTGCACCTGCCATCACACCAGCTGTAAATAAAACAAATATGCAAACTTCAAATGACTGTGATGGCAACTCCAGCACCAAGGGAAAGGCTAAAAGAAAAAGGAATAGGATGCAGAAGCTTGATAGTTCTATGTTAGGTTTCACTGTTCAGTCTAATCCTGATCGTTTGAATGTTGGAGAGATTGACCATGTTGAGGGTATGTGATAATGATTTTGCCCCTCAAACTGTTGCTGCAAATCAACTTCGAACCATCAGGATGCTCAGGTGCTGCAAGTATGTGGACTTGATTAATGACAGAAAGAATAAAAAAAACTATTTCATCGCTAGTTGTGATATAAAAAGAAAATAAAGCCAGCCATTAGATGTGATAAGGGTAATGAGTGTACAATATTTGTTTTGCAAATATGTTTAAAGATCCCACTGCCACAGAGAAAGAAAACATCTTCTTTGTATTATTTCAAGTAAACTAAAGGGATATAAAAAATTTGTAAAAATGAACTAAAATTAATATAATTATGTCTACCATTGTATAATTCTATGCCATAAAGTCTACTTTGGCAGATTTGTAGACAATGTAAATAAATTTATAAGCTTGCAGTAAAGTTTCTTTTTGTACTTTTTGAAACATTTATAATATGCATCAAATAATGCTGCGAAACTGGTACTTTTAGTTTATTTCACTCTGTAGCCTCATTTTTGAAGTAAGTTCTTCGTTGAATTGAAATTGTTACTTAGATGTGCAATATTTTGATCCTTTCCCCCCCCTTTTTTTTAAATTCCAACTAGGAAATTTTACATTTCATCAACTAAAGAAATTTTTTGGGGAAAAAAGTTTTTCTAATTTGGTTTCTCCCATGAGATATTAAGTTAAATGCATCAGAAAGATAAAATCATGGAATTGTGGAGAAGTCCCAAGAAGAAATTTAAGTGAATTTAATGTAATCATTTTTATATACGACTAGAATAGTTCCTAGGCCATTGGCTGCCTGCATACTTTCCTAAGATTGCTGCCTCCAAATTTAAAAGAAAAAGTGCTCAGTAATTAATAATTTATTTTAATTTCATACTCACCAAGTACTTACATATGACAAATTGTATAAAAAGTACTTACATACGCATACCTGCCAACTTTTACGAATTTTTACGAAAATGCGTTTGTCTTTACGATTTTATGATCGTAATCCATCATTTACAATTTTTTCCTTTTCAAGTGTTTTAGTGATTTTGTCAAAATTTTAGATTTTTCGAATTCACCGTTTTTTACCGCCAACTAACGACTACTTCGAATCCAGTAACCTGCGGTTTCTTTCAACTCGCCCTTAACCAGCCATCCAATGCGCTGACTTGTTTCTCCACTCTTTTCTTTGTGGGCGGCAGATTATTTTTTCGTTCGCTCAGCAGCAAGGAAATTACTCGTTCGGCTCAGCGAGCGTGGGTTGTCGCATTCTTTTTTTTTTTTTTTTTTTGTTGTTTTTGTTTGACGTTCTACAAATTTCTTAATGTCGTTGTTACGAAATGAGTTCAAAAAAACTATTGCTCATGTTTTTTGCCTACAAAGCCGAATTTCCAACAATTAAAGAATCCTTCAATGTGCGTGTGTGTGACTTCATAGTCACGGTGGAGAGCGACATGTGAAGCATGTTAAGTCTAAAAAGCATGAAGTTAATGCTCGGCTTTGACAACTTCAATGAAAGTGATGATTTTTTTCAGTTCGGCTACGAATTTGGATGCCGATGTCATTTTGGCAGAGTGTTTGTTTATTGCATTCCTCATCGAACACAACGTGCCGCTAAGCACTGCCGATCATCTTTTCAAACGGATGTTTCCCGACTCCAAGATTGCTCAGAAATATGCTTGTGCTCGCACGAAAACATCTTCTATTGTGAACGAAATTGCTTGTGATGCTCAAAGTAAAACAATAGCAAAAAAGAAAAAAGAATTTTTTCATTGTGTTAGTACTTTTCCTCAGCCTGTGATTACATTATAAGGAAGTTTCCTTTGCAAAATGAAGTTCTTTTAAATGCTGAAGTGGCAAATTAGAAACAAATTGAAAATTCATCTTTTGAAAAGATTCATTTTTTTATTGATAAATTTCCATTTTTGTTACCATTAAAGAAAATGAGATGCCATAATGATGCTTTAGATGAACTACAGAACCAATTTTTCTGCTGCCACAGTTTTGAAGACTTTGCCATTCTGGAGAAGATAGACTTGATGTCCCGTTGGTACCTTAAAAAGAATAACAAGAGCTGATGGAACACCAAAATATGATAGACTAGCAAGAGTTTTATGTGCTATTTCGTTAATTCCCACACAGTAAGCTGAGTGCAAGAGAGTCTCAGTGTTGTAAGAAAAAGAAAACTATGTTTCGTTCTTCAATTTCACCAAAAAAACTCTAGGAAACATTAATTGCTAAATGTTATGAGGAAACTAATTGTTATGACAGGAAATTTTCCAAAGAATTTTGGCTAAAAGCCAAAAAAATGCACTCTAAATTCATGCAATAATTTTTTGTGTAACATTAAGTTCTTGTTTTGTTTCCTAATAAATTTTTAGTTACTACTTAATTGAGATTTTCTAATGTAAGTACAATTTTTTTTTTTATTTGTATAAATTGTTATTTTTTTAATATCAAAGCATGATATTAATTCTTTGTGTTCTTCTGAATTTGGGAGAGAAATCTTCTGAATTTTTATCTTTAGAGGTTGGCAGGTATGCATATGGTACTTTATACAGTACATACATAGTACTTACAGTGAATTTAAAATATTTAGGTGTAGTATCGCCAAGATTCTGGCCACTCCTGATTTTCTCCGCATGTGTTCTTTTATGCACTGCACTCCCACTAGGAATGCCCCTGTATGTCCACTTCTCTTGTATTGTCTTTTGTTCCTTAAAATTCTGCCCTTGTATAATTCATATATGGGCACACCATGATTTTATATTTAATCTGATATGACAAAGAATAAAATGACCACTAAAACATTAATTTTACTTTTTAGTACCTTTAACTGAAACTGTATAGCTTTATTTCTTGAGAAGTGGACGTATATATTTTTCTATACTTTCTAATCTAATGTAGAAAAGTACTAAAAAAAAAAAAAAAACTACTGCTTTTGAATGTAGGAATGTATGATTAAAAAAGAAAACCTCTCTCAGTTTGTGCTTCGCAAATGAATCTTTAACTCCCAAAACTTATTTCAGAGAATGTGGCTATCTGCTGAATAAACCTTACATGATACTTTTTAGGTTCATAATTGTTCAAATAGATTGTTACAAGAGGGACTGAAAGTTGAGTGCAAGGAAATAAACAAGCATTGATGAATTTAGAGCAAGTCTGGGTTGGTTTTTTTAAAATTCAGAAGATGGCACAGGTTTCGAAATTAGAACATTTGTGTAAAGTACGAGGTGAGATTCTGAAGTTGGTTCCACTATTCAGAAAAAAACTGTAGGAATTTTTGAAGAAGTGAGGATTTTATACAGTTAAGTCTGTAGTATGGGCAAAACATGTCCAAAATTGGGGGGGGGGAAATGATCAAGTTAGGAAAAAGCACATCTGGAAGAAAGTTAAACAAGGAACAATTGTCTACTTTGTTGTATTTCAATAGTGATAGATATCACATGTTCAGATCTTGTATTGAAGAAAATGTATATGATTAAGTAATTTGAAGCATAATGAATCATTGTTATCATTCTCAACTGATTTCAAAGCATAGCTGTGCTAGAAAACATGAAAAGATAGTTATTTTAATGACAGATAATGCAATATCCTATTCCAGCTAATAGACCAAGGTCATTATTTGTGCAACTAAACATCTTTACAAAAGAAAAATAAGTTTTGGGAGTTAGATTCATCTGCTAATGCACAAACTAAGAGAGTTCAGCAAACATTACAAATTTAAATTTAAACACCCTAAGCATACGAGATCTATCCACCAGGTTTGTGGATCTATCCAGAAGGTTTTGTGGAGGACTTTCTAAAGAAATTTGCCTCATATTCAGAAAATTTAATGTAAGTAGCCTGGGCATGAAATGTACTAGCTCCACCTCAGTCACTAGTGAGCAAACATTTTCGTGGAAACTTATCTGAAAAAAATTGCTGTATTTTAAAATCTGATAAAACTATGCATGCCATACTAAACCGACTTGTCGTCATAAGTCACAAAAATATTATTATGAATTTGACAGCTATTAAAATTTTTCCTTTTATAGCCACACAATTTTTATTTTTGCTTACTGTTATTTACATGTAGTATTCATATCTGTAAAGTTAACTGCAATATAGTTTTCTTAATAATTTTAGTATTTTAAAACATGAACACTCAGCAAGTTATATAAAATAACTTTATAGCTATTCATGGTTGGATGGCAATTTTGAAAAAATCTAAATGATTCTTTATATACATACAATGCAGTAAGTAAATTTTGAAGTTATATCAAAATTGTCTCTCATTATTTCTAAATGTTTAATATCGTCAAAAGTCTAATAAAGAACTACTGTATTTTGATGGAATGGCATTGCACATATCCACTATACCATGATCTCAAAACTGGCAGCCTGCAATTTCTGTACAGTAATTCAGGGAACCATCATTATTGGTTGGCATACACTCTCAAACAACTAAAACCATTACTTCATCAACAAAAATGATATGTTCTGTGTTTGGTTAACGAAGTCAGGGTTTCATGCACTGGAAACTACTGCAACCTGGCCAGAGGACTTAATTCAACTCTGCATTCTCAGCTGTTGAAACAAAGGCATTAAAAAATGAAAAGAAAACCGTGAAGCCAAAGTTTATGAATCACAAAGGTAAATTTTATTTCAAGTATAAAGCCTCATATTATTGTGGTGCATAGTGGGATATCTGTTAACTTTCACGCTCATCAGGGCATAAGTATCATCAAGTGTAACTCTGACTTCATTGGGAAATACTAACACAACTGTCATTATTTGGTTGAACACTATACAGCCAAATTACGATTTGTACCATTCATTAGCTAATCATTTGCAGGAATGGCAATTCAGAACTCTTGATAAGGTAAATCATACACTGTACAACTTCAGTGGTTCATATTCTGCTAGCTTCTGTCACTCTGAGATCTACAGTCTACACAACTGCTGGAGACAATTTCTTAATTTTTCAGGTACTTGTTGTACCTGAAATTTAAGAAATTTCTTGTTGTACATAGGGCTGTGGAGTCGGTAGGGAAAATGATAGAATCCGACTCCTTCATATATATGTAAACATATACACATGGGTACAGCTTATTTTTTTAATGTAAAAGAAGTAATAGATGCTACAGAATAAAATTCATTCAAAGCAAATTTTGTATATTAATTAGCATTTAATATGAAATGGAAAAACTGGCATTAGTAATTTCTAAGAAACAGTAAAACTTCGGCAAGATCTTTTGTTAGTCTTTCAACACTGATTTGAGCAGGAAGTGCTGTTACTGTTAGGGCTACTTCCTTTAACTTTTCAGGACAGATTTTTATATGTTCTATAAAAGAGGTGTCTTGCAAGAATCTTTATTATTTTCAAAGGCGTGTATAAATCTTGTTTGTTTTCATTTTATATCTAAAGGTCTTTGTTATTTATTTTCATTCGCTTCGCGTAAGCCTTTTCAACTTATCCAAACATTCTCAAAACTAATTAATCAGTGGAAGAGGAAAGAGGACTCAGTTGAATATCTGCAGTTTGACCGTCTTGATTTGAATACTCAGTTTTCTGAGAATAATTTCATTTTAATGAAAGTTCATAGATGGCTTTCTTGCCCTTTAATTTGTTTGTCATCCAAAAAATTCGGCATTTTGGATCTACATATTGAACCCAGCACGATCTTATTGTCTAGCAAATAGTTTCTTTTCTTAGAAGAAAGATTCATGCAATAAACCCTTTATTCAGAAAGAACAACCTCACTTCTTCCAGTCTGCCTCTTGTATTCTTCAGATTGTCTTTTTTGTAGTATATACGGGTTGAAGAAGGGTTCTCAGGTCTGAAGATTATTCCACATCTTCGCGGAAATAGAGGATTTTCACTTCTGAAAAGTTCTTATTCCTAAATCACTTGATATCATCAAATATGTATTCTCCATTGCGTGCTCCCTTCCTACGAAGCTTCAATTTTGGGAGGGCGTACCTAAATTCACCAAGGATTAGTAACTAAAGAATCAGTACTCAATAATGGCAAAAATCACGTCCATCCTGCTAGGATATTCATGATATATGTCAATAAAAGGAAAATAACTATTTATTAATGTATATAGTTCATAAATAAAATATTAACTTAGGGTCATTTTTTTTTTTTTTTTTTTTTTTCACTGTAACTTCATTTCAAATTCAAACTGTTCAACAAAAACTGGAGTCGGAGTCGACATGTTTTTTTAACGACTCCAACTCCGAATCCTTTTACCCAAAAATCTGCTCGACTCCGATTCCGACTCCACAGCCCTGATTGTACAGTACTTCTTATCTTTTTTTTTTTTTTAAACCAATCTAATAATGCATATAATACTTCCACACTACCTCCAATTTATGGATTTAAACATAACCTATTTGACTACCATAAAGATAAAAGGTGAGAAAATCTTTTCCATTACTGAATTTTCCTGTAAAGTAAATACTGCTATTGTCATATATTATGTTTTAATAAGATATATAATGTTTCATGTCATATAATATTTCAATAATGTCAAGTCAGTTAAGTTAATGTAGAAAGTTTTAATTAATTCTTCCTGCACTTAAGATTTTTCACACATTTATATTTTCAGTGAAATACAACCCAAAAGCCAAATGATTGAAAGAGCCATAAAGCAGTCACAAATTTGAAAATAAATAAAGGTTATAAATTCTTCTCAAATAAGGAAAACTGTAAAATTAAAAATACATATGTATTGTATACTTCATACCATCAATACATACACCATGAATTACATTCACATGTTAAGTAAGGAATGACAATGACATACAATATATTCTTAAGATAATACATTATTTTTTCTTCTTAGTTTTCAGACTTTCTTGCACTTCTTCCCTAGGTTTCTGCCATTGTAAGGGCTTGCGACGATACATTGGCCATGGTGGTAAAGTCAACTGCAAGGAGAAAGCAATATAATCAATATATTATATACCAAATATAAGGAGTTTTTAAAAATATATTCTAAACTACAGAAAAGGGCAAGGAATTACATTCAAAATATAGACAACATTAGTATTTATATCTACATTAGCCATAAAAAAAAGGGATAGTTCTACTCGGCCGATTGACAAAATTCAACTTTCATTTCACGTCTTGAAAGCACAACTTATGGTATATATTAAATTTACATATAGCACTGTTCTAACATACGTATTTTGATACACACACCAGACTTTTTCTGAAATATTTTTTTTTTTAATTTTATTTATTTATTTTTTTATTTAACGTTTCGATTATCCGATTCAAATTTTGCGATTTACCTTGGTGCACTTTGCTGTGTGTTACGAATAATTCACTTGCCGAACTTCTCAGTTTACAGCAATCTATTTCACTTTCCCTTTAATTCAGTGTCAGCCGAAAAAAAAAGATTCATTTTCTCTTTCTTGCATATGTTTGTACTTCATATTATATTTTTTAATCACAGACTTTTAAAGAATTTCATTTTAATTATTTGAGTTGTATGACTGAAGTAGCTCTTCAAATAATTATTTTAAAATATTCTTTTTATTCATTTGCATTGTGTACTCTAAGCATGTTTACTCGTATATATATATATTTTTTTAATTTGATTTTATTTACTTTAGTAGCATTTCTTTCGAAAGAATACTTTGTCACCCAGTATTTGTCACGAGGCCTTTGAAAACTGCATTCTGCATTAAAAGAGAAAATCATGTAAAGTATGATTAATAAGCCTTTAAATGGGCCATTCAGAAAAGATCTAGAGAAAGTTGTATTACCTACACTTTAAATTGATACAGACAATTTTCCATGGTTTTTTCACTGTGCAATTAGTTGCTTTACAAAATTTTATCATATGAATGAGAAAGTTGTATCTACACTTTAAATGCATACAAACAATTTCATATAGTTTTATCACTGTACAATTGCTTTACACAATTTTATCATCCCACATTTAATTTTTAAAAAAAAATCCATATTTTGGAATAAATTCAAATTTTTTAAATCACAAAAATCAAATAGAATTCTATAAATAATTATAGAATAAATAAGGCTAAATTTTATGCAAATAAATAAATACAAATAATTAAATAAAAATAAATATTTTATTTCTTTTAATGCCTTAAATTTTTCTTAATGACTTATTGCCTCAAGAAAATACCTTAATGATTTTCTTCAGATATAACTGCAAACATTCTCCTTTTTTTAATCACTATATACCATACTCAGTTTTGAAACAGCTTGTTTTCTGCAACATTATTAGGAAAAGATTTCACTTTCAGTTTCGTCAGAAAATGGTCAGAGTAAAATACTGAAATAATTTTATCAATGATATAGAATGTCTTCAGAGGCTAAGCATTTTGAAAGTATAAAATGAGTGAAAAAGACTAGTTTCGTCAACACTGGAAACATTTTAGCTGATATCTGCATAATCTTTTGGATAAGTTTATGAATTTTCAATAAATTCAGCTGAGACATCTTTGATTTCTCTATTTATGATACGATATGACATACAATGGCATAATTTAAATTTATACAGCCCTACAATTGAAAAAAACCCCACAACCACCCTTCACAATGTTATTTCTTCTGTCTTTTTTATTGGCATATGCCCATTTTCTGGAATATTTCATACACAGCACTGACTGAAAACTTCTACAAAGTATGATTTGAACTTCCGGATATTTCTCCTCGAACATGCAATTTTTTTCACGCGGTTTACCATAACATGATGTTGTTTCTTCTAATTTACTTCTTTCTGAAAAATTTGTTCTCAATGTTGACACAAGAATGTTCAGTTTTTTCCATCATTTATTTCCATAAATTTTGTATTCTTAATCTTGTCATTACAGAACATAATTAAGATAACTTTTCAGGGAAGATCGATATAAATATACATTCCTTTCATCACATATGAATGAACTTTATGAGAAAATATTAAAAGGTATCAGCAGCTGACATTATAATTAAACTTAATATTCTGGCATAAACTGCATCAAAACTTCATTAAGCACATTTAATGTTGGTGATAATTGTCATTTCAAATCCTCCCGATCCGAACTACAGCCAGATGAGGTATACAAATTTTGTTATGGCCTAGCAACAAGGACTGTGCTTATCTCTGGTTTAGGCCTTAAGTACTAGGGCATATCATAAGTGATTTGAGCAGTTCATCCCAATTCTGAAAAAATTCCCTTTGGAGATAGATCCTAGGGTCTCCCACCCCTCTTTTCCAGAAGCTGAGAAGGGAAAAAGAGGTTTCCTTTTTCACCTCTTTTCTACAGGCTTCACCAGAGGTTGGTGGTCAGCTAGACCAGTAATGGTGAAACTTGTGACGTACAAACTCGTTTTGGGTGACACACATTTCCAGAACTGTTGAACAGAGACAAAGAAAATTACACAATACTAAAATAATTGTCTCATGCAATGGTCTTGTCAGACTTTCACCAAATTCACTTTAATGCATGGCCATTCCAAATTCACTTTATAATGCATGGTTCAGATTATTAAACTGTTTGTAATTCAATTCTCATGTAAAATATATTAGCATTTAACCAGATCTTCTAAATTTTACGTTCTTTGGCTAATTTCAAATTTCTTACATTTTTATTCTGAGGAAATTTCAAGCAGTGAAGGAAAGCTTTTATTTATCAAAGTATTCTTAAATACCATGAAAATAAAATTAATCATTAATATAGTACATTTTATTTATTTTATTTGTATGGATAAACTTAGTCATGTACTTAGTCATGTACACTGAAGTAAACAAAATTAAATACAAATACTAATTGATTAACATTGCTTGAATCTTCATATAAAAATCTGCAACTGCCTACAGTAGATTAAAACAACTCAGATCAAATATGTCACACGAAAAAAGTACAATTCACAAATAAGTTTATTAAGTTCTACAAGTTTAATAAAAAAAATTATTCTGAAAATCATTAGTGGGGTAGAATAGAATTTGCCTAATTTAAATTTCATTTATCACAGGGAAACATTTTCAATTTAAAAACCAGACAAATTTAGTGATCTGCCAGGAGATTGGGAGATGTGAAGGAAAAACCAGGACAATTGACAACTATTGTATTTGTGGGTATTTTTTGTGGTTCATCAATCGGAGTAATAATTGTAAGGTTATGTTAGAAATTACAACCAAACCTAACTTTATAATTATATTAAAAATGCAACCTGATCTATGTTTGTAAGGAATTTTCACGTAACAGTAATCCACACTAAAATATGAAATCATACCAAAGTAGAAGCTCTCTGTCAAAAAAGTGTATAAGGGCAGAAATTTTTATTAATTTTAATCATAAAAGCAAGCTTAAAACAATCACAAAATTTAAACAATGATTTATGAAAAAAAAAATATTAACATTAAATGGTCAAGAGCATAAAACACACACTTTCCATTTGTAATTAACAATTTTCATCATTTTAACACCATAGCAAACTTGAAATTACATTGTAAATAATATACATATCTCTAAACTAGCAGATGCTAAAATTACTTACAATGCAAGATAAAATGAAACCTGCTCCTAGAATATACACAGTATATGAGAACTGCTGAAAAATATATCCAATCACCAGACCTATTGCCTGAAAAAATGTATGAAAATGTAATTTCCATGTGACAAATATAGCATGTTAAATTAAAGGAATTTAAATTTTACTAATTTAAACAAATATATAAATACATTTACTGCATTAATTGTTTTTCAGTATAAATTATTTGAAATATTCTTACTGTTAGAGGCATATTTAACAATTCATATGTATTTCTCCCACTGTTTCATTTAATTTTATGCAAAATTCTTTTCCATACACACACACATATATACATATCAAATTCAAACTGTTATCTTACAAAGTAAATTAATCTCACTGTCAGAATATGTAGCAACATAACTACTAAAACTACTTTCATTTATAATTTTATGTAAAACCTTTTTGTTGTTGTTGTTACTGATCTTAACTGGTTAGCCATCAGGCTAGATAAGATCCATGAGTCCAAGAACCATCAATAAATCCAAAATGAAGGTAGGCCCTCTTTACAGGTTCAATGGTATCTACTGAAAACATCATGGAGAAAACAATGAAAGGTGAAAACGTCATGGTACAAAACATCATGGAAGAAAAGAAAGCAAAGAGAAAACATCACAGGTCTAAACCATTGTGGTAAAAAAATAAACACTTCACAGTTTAAAAACCTCATCATCGAAAATATCGTGGTAAAAAATAAAGTACTTACAAATCATCGCATGATGATAACATTGCAGACGTGCATTTTTCAGGTTTTAATAATTGTTAATTGATATTCTCACAATGATTTGTGAGCACGAGACAGAAGGAAGTATAATTTTTACTTTTATATTTTTTAATAACTAATAATTTTTTGCTGAAAAAGCAAGAGACAGAAAATTAATGCAACTTATAAAGCTTAATTTTAAACTTACATAGTTAACTAACAAAGATCATTAAAAAATTATTTTTTATAAAGTTTTACTAGTAATGTTTCTCGAAAAATACAGTGTAAAAAAGATTAGAAAAAGGAAGATAAGTAACTGCATAATACCTCTATAAGAATTGTTTAGTTATCAAATTATGTTAATTATCAAATTATTTTCTCTCAGGTTTGTTAATCTGATATTCTTTTAATGAAAATTATATCTTGTTTTGTTTCAATTTATTCTTAAAGTATCATGAATATTTTCATGCACAACATGCAATTAACTACTTGGATGTCAATTTGTTGGTGTTCGCCAAAAACATTGCAGATGAAAGCAGCATGGAGAAAACAACGCAAGGCAAAAACGTGTAGTACTAAACATCACGGAAGAAAAGGAAACAAAGAGAAAATGTCACAATTCTAAAACATCATGGTCAAAAATAAAAAAGTTAAAAAACTTTGCAGTTTAAAAACATTGGCATCGAAAATATCGTGGTAAAAAAGTACCTATAAATCATGGCATGATACATCAAACATATGCATATTTTAGGTTTAAGAGTTGTAAGTGTGTTTTCAAATAATGATCTGGGAGCGCAAGAAGGAAAGAGGGATGTTTGTGCTTTTATACTTCATATTTTTAAATGAACTAAAAAAATTTTTACTGAAAAAGTAAGAAGGAAACTTAAGCATTTAAAAATTAAAAATGAATAGAAAATTAATGCAACTTATAGCACTTAATAGAATTTTAAATTTACATAGCTAATTAACAAAGGTTATTAATAAATTAATATTTTTTATAAAGTTTTAGTGATAATTTATCATGAAAAATACAGTCTAAAAGTGTTTAGAGAAAGAAGATAAATAACTGCATGAGGTTACCTCTATACAAATTACTTAGTTAATTATCAAATTATTTTCCTTCACCTTTGTTAATTTTTTATTATTTTGTTTCCCTTTATTCTTAAAATGTTGTTAACACTTTCACCCTCTTTCCATCTTGTGCTCCCAAATCATTATGCTAAAATGCATGCTAAATGCATTTACAATTTTTAAAACCTGAAAAATGCATGTGTACAATGTTATCATCATGTGATTATTTGTAAGCACTTTATTTTTTATCATAATATTTTTAAACCATGAAGTTAAGCTACTTTATTTTCGACAACGATGTTTTAGAACTGCGATGTTTTCTCCTTGCTTCCACGATGTTTTGTACCATGACGTTTTTGCCTTGCATTGTTTTCTCTGCGATGTTTTCGGCTGTAATCCGATTTGTTAGTTGTGACAAAAATCAGCTATATAATACTTCAGCAGAAGATTTGGATTTAATGGAGTGTACCAAAGCACACTAGGGCTACTGGGGAGAAATGCTTTGGGGGAGTACATTCTCAAGAACTGGCTCATATCCATTTTATACATTATGAAAATAATGAAAATCTCATGTAGGCAGCTCATTCACTGAGTCAAAATGCCTGTTTTCACTTGGATAATGAAAGCATCATTAGAATGCTCTGATGGTAGAACAATAACAGCAATTATAGCCAGCAAAATTTTACATTATATTTTAATGACATTTTAAGAATAAAATGAAACAAAACAAGAAATAATTTTCACTATAAGAGTATCATATTAACAAAAGTGAAAGAAAATAACTTGGTATTTAACTAAGGAAATTTTTATAGATAAGCTCATGCAGGTACTTATCTTCTTTATTTTACTCTTTTTTAGACTATATTTTTCATGAAAGATTACCAGTAAAACTTTATAAAAAATAATTTATTATTGACTTTTATTAGTTAACTATAAAATGGGATTCTTTTCTTAAGGATATTGCAGTTTTTTCCTCTTACGTCAGAATAATATTTAAAAAGGAAAGAAAATTTCCTCATTCCATCGTCAAAAAAATAAAATTTTTAAAAAAAAAAAAAATGTTGCTCAAAAAATATTGTAAGGATCTTAAGTTTTACTAACGTTTATTTTATTTTAAATCTTTACTATCACTTCTTATTTTCTACTTCCGGCCAGAATTATAAGCGTTAAGGATTTATGCAAAGTTTGTCTGGCGAACGCCAAGTATTTAAGTTGTGGCCTTTTTGCCAAGCAGAAGAGAGGAAGCAGTGAGTTCGAAGCAGGCCGCTTACCTTAGAAGTTTTACGCAGTTGCTGGTTTGCCTTCCAGGCCAGAGGTTTTAATCCTCTTGATAAATTTAAACGTATTGTAGTGTTCACAGTTCTCTGTACTACATACGCTTCCTGTTATTATAAGGCCAATCTTCCACGTTATTAAAGTTAAATTAGAGTTTAGTTTTATTTTTATATCTTTTACGTTAGACCCCGAGTGGAGGGTCATTGTATTCCGAAGTACGGAAGTTATTGTATATAAAGAAAAAAATAAAGGGTTTTGTATACCCTTCGTCTGTATCCTGTCTACTTACCCACAATTAGTGAACATAGCTTTAGTAAGCTCTCTGTTCCGAGTCAGGTCCTTGTATGTTCCCGAAGAAGGTTAAGAAGGAAACATTGAACCTGATAGTGGCGCCCGAACGAAGAATAACCATGGCCGAGTTTCAAGAAGAACCTGTGCTGCCTGCAGAAACGGCTCAGAATCCAGAAATGCCAGCTGCCGCCCTGGAAGGATTTGGGTTACATCGTCCAGACCATGCGCGCTTCGATGAAACCAGAAGCAACATTTAATGGAAACTCACCGGTAACCAGTTTTTTGGAAAAATTGGATGACCACTTCATGCTCTACCCCGTGCACGAGTTTCAAAAAGTTACCTTAGCTACCAGCGCTTTGAGGGGCCAAGCGCTTAACTGGTTCAAATGTATAGGCAGAAGTCTCTTGGGTCAAGCAGGAAGTCCCACCTATACTTACGAAAATTTCAAGACTGCCCTACTAAAAGCCTTCCCTGTTGTAAGGGATCGTGCGAAATTAGAAACGGAACTTTTCAGTATATATCAACAAAGAATCGAAAACCTCTCGAGCTTTATTTTAAGAAAAATTCACGTTTTCAAGCTCTTGTATGGAAACCGTCCGGATCCTGAAATAATTCAAGTGATTTTGCCGAGGTTACTACCCCAAGTGCAAGACTTTATTGAATTAAGAAATCCGACTACACTGGAAAAGTTATTTGAGCTAGCAATCCAGTTTGAAAGTAGAAGAACGGCGGACGTCGAAAGAAGACGCCAATATCAACAGCGAAACCAATTTGGTACGCCAAGACTACAGCAAACTCAAGCACACGGCTACGGAGAAAAGCGAATCAGTGGGCAAGGAAACCCGAGCATTCAAAAACAGCCGGCGAACGTCGACAGTTCAATAGCAACCCAGGAAAAAAGTCTCAAGGCCAGTGGAAAAAGAAGGAAAGCACGGAAAGAAAAAATAATTTAAACTAAAACGGATTTCTGCTGACGAGAGGGTGCGGAAATCCGAAGGCCACGAAAACCCCTCTTCCTACAAGTTAAATACAGTAATGGTGAAAAATTTGACTCTTCCGAAGATTGAAGTCTTGGTGAATAATATCCCGGCCACCGCACTCCTGGATACCGGCGCGCAGTGTTCCTGTGTGGCAGAAGTCTTTTTTAGAAAGTATTTTCGCAAATACCGCATATATAATGCGGATAATACGACAGTATTAGCGGCGCAAGGAGAAAATGTAAGTGCGTAGGTAAAGTACCTTTGTACATCCGTATCAAGGACGAACAAGTAAAGGTGATGTTTTTTATAGTAAAGAATCTGCAAGCACATTAATCTTAGGAATAGACTTTTCTTTCAGACGCACAAGCTACACTGGATTTTAATGAAGCGTCCCTTAAGCTGACGATGAAACCAGTGCGTGTAGAAAAGGTTGAACCGCCGAAGGTTAAATCTTGACCACCTGCCTAATGACGAGCAAGATAGAATCCGACAAGTGGTAAGTGAATTTGCTTCGTTATTTAGTGATATTCCAGGATTTACTCAGGTTACTAACCATAGTATTGACACCGGAGATGCATTGCCAGTTCGTCAAAAACCATACCGGTATGATAAGAATAAGGAAAAAAAAATTATAGAATGGCATATTACCGATATGCTACGTAAAAAGATCATAACGCCCATATCTCAAGTAGTTATGCTAGCCCGGTGGTTTTATGTAAGAAAAATAATGACT